TGAGATCCTGAAACAGTCTCCAAACTGGCCACCCTCACTCCAGCGGCTACTCCACTGTGCCAGATAGACCCTCCTAAATAGCACACTACACAAGCCACTCCCCTGCCCTAAAACCTGCTGCGCCTCCCCACGTCCGCGGGGGCAAGACCCAAAGACCCAACTTTCCAGTCTGTCTTCGGGGCACCTCCCGCCCCTAGTGCCACCTGCCTTTCTCTCCTGCCTTCCCTTGACTTTTCTACCGATCTCCCAAACTCTGCTCCTGCCCTATGCATTGAGGACCCAGAATACCTGGTTCCCTCCCTCCTCCCCCAGGTTTAATTCTGCTCTAAATCAAATCTGCCTCTTTCCAGAGAGGCTGCCAGCCAGCCCCGCCCCAAGGGGATTCCTGGCTCCTCTAATGTGCGTTGTCTCCTGTCTCGCACTCAGCATTTGCCTTCTCACAGTGCCACCTACGTGTCCCAGGGTAGCCAGGACCTGGAGAAGGGCTTCTTGGAACTGGAACATTCCTGGTGTATATAATAAAAGCAATGAGATTCCCTCCTTATGAACTTAAAATATTGTGTATTAATATGAAATATGCCTTAAAAATGATACATGTCCCTTCCTTGAAAATTCTAGTGTGCCTGAGAGGGAGGGATTTGAGGATAGGGTGGGGAAGGGAGGGAGAAGGCCCCTCTCCCTTGTTTGTCTTAAGAATCTCTGATGTAGACAAAAGACAATTGGATTTGGAGGAGATTCCAGTCCTGGATTTGAGTTCTAGTTCTGCCATTTGGTAACCGTGGGGTGCTGGGAAGATCACCTCATCTCTTAGGGCCTCCACTGATTAAATGGGGATGATGCCGTCTTCAAGGGGCAATGCACAGAGTGTGGAAGTCAGCAGTAAAGTGGCGGTGACGACTGGTCGGCTACGTTGTAGCCCCTTAGAACACCGACTGGCAAAGCACTCTGGGCTCTGACAAGGAACGGAAGAGAGAGGCTCCTAAGAATTCATGAAGGCAGGAAGGTTCAAAGCCATTATTGTCCCTGACTCTTTCTCCCGCACATGTCCCCCTCCCCTTCTCCTTCTGGAGGGTCTCCTGCTGAAATTGCTGCTATCCTTACCACATCAGACCTCTTTAGTTAAGAGACTTAAAATATGAAACCCAGGGACAGTAAAACAAAAAAGGAAAAACAGAAAGGGCCTTCGGAAGCAGAGAGGGGAGTGTGTAGGGGACAGTAGCCTAGCTTCTGGGGACCAAGGTCAGCTCCAGGAGTGGGGTGGGGACCTGGGCTAACGGGAAAGGGCTGTGACAGGGAGGCTGCGAGTCTCAGAGGGCGTGGTGGAGGCCCTGGCCCTGGGTTCAGACCTGGGCACCCCTGAGGGAGTGGAATTGCAGAAACCCCGCTGCTGTGTTGCCCTTCCAGAATGGTGACCTCTGGACACGGTAACCCCACAGCTATCCCCTCTTCCAGAACATTATTGGGCTGGAGAGCCAGCTCCCCATGGGTCACCTCTGCTAAAGTCAGACACGGAGGGGACCCCCACTTCCCAGCTCACCTGGGAGGAGCGAGGCCTTGAACTTTCTACCCCAGAAATTCCAAAATGTTTGTGTGCCAAGCTTGAGCAAAAGTGGCAAAAGGAGGACGGCCCTTGGGCACCCAGCGTCCAGTCTGTTGGCTGAGACAACGAACAAACGCTGTGTCCTGTGTGGGGACCGCTGCTAAGTGCGACTAAGAAAAATCCTTGGGGGCATGGGGCGGAATGCTCCGACAGACCGGAGCAAGGTAAGGGACAGGGGACACAGGGGACAGAGGGGACAGAGGAGTTATTTGAGTTGGGCGGTCAGGGAAGGCCCTCAGGGTTCTCTGCTGGAGTCTCCGTGCCCCCAAGCCCCCTGTTCCTACCCCCGGTGCTGGTTCTTGCCCCAGGGTCGCCGCCCATCTCCCTGGTTCCTCCCGTGGCGGTTCTGCCACCTCTAGCCAGTGGCGAGCACCTGGGCGGTGTCCCCAGCCGGTGCGTGACTCCGCCCCGCCCGCCCCGCCCGCGCCTCAGACGCGCGCCGGTCTCCAGTCCTCCGCCGTCCTCCGCGCGTCCCGGCGCCCAGCGAGCCCATGGAGCCTGCGGAGCCCGCGGAGCCGGCGCGGGACGCGCCCCGGGCCCAGGCGCTGCTGCGTGAGCTGGAGGCGCTGGTCCAGGACGTGGTGCGCGCCAGCTCGTGGTGGGAGCGCCACGGCGTGGACTGCACCATCCTGGCGCTCAGCCTCCTCGCCTTGCCTGCGGGTGAGGGACACGGGGACAGGGCGACAAGGGCCAGGCTGCGGGTGGGGGTGGGGCGCGGGCTCTGCCGCAGCACTGGGGTCCGGAGGAGTGGAGCGGGCTGGTGGGTGCGGCACCCCTGTGTCCCTGGGGAGCGGGGCAGAGGAGGCGGGAGAAAGTGTGCTGGCAGAAGGGGGATGGAAGCGGAAGTTGAGAGGGGTCGGGGCGTGGTGGGGCGGGACGAGGTCTCTGGGGAAGGGGGACCGGGAATGGGGTGGGGAGTGAGGGAGGAGGAGTCTCCTCTGGACCTCTCCTGGCCTGGAACCCCTGACAACTGGGCCCCCCTCACTGCTCTGGCCCAAGAGGGAAACCCAGGCAGACTCAGGACCACGGGAGTCTCCGCGGCAAGCCGGTGGGGGTCCCTGCTTCGTCCCAAATCCTGTAGAGAGAGCCGACCCATCCCCTGTCCCGCCTCGAGCCTGCCTGCAGCAGCCCCAGAGCTGGGCCCACTTTGGCCTGGGCTCCTGGGATGGGGGCTGAGGTGTTTGCGCCAGATCTCCGAGAGCTGGAGAAAGACCCTGTCCCCTGTCCCCCTCCTGCATGCAGGGTTCCTGTGCCTGCGCTCGGAGAATGTGCTGGTCTTTGCCACCGGCATCACCATCTTGGGTATGTGCCACTACACGCTCACCGTCAAGGGCAGCCACCTGGCCACTCACGGTGCCCTCACGGACTCCAAACCCTGGAGTAAGATCTGGCTGCTCTTCTTCGTGGAGGTGAGCCTGGGAGAGGTGTGGGCACCCGCTGGCGTGGTGTGGGCAGCCTCATCATTCTGTGCAGGCTTGCAGGTGCGTCCAGCGGTGTGGGCGCCCACATGGACAGGCAGCTGCAGCTGTTGGTATGTGGAGCCAGGTGTGCGGTATGCACTACAGGGCGTGTGTCTGTGTGTGTGTGTGTGTGCACTTCTCCAAGCCCTTGACAGGCCATTTGCATCTGGCAGGTAGAGACCCGCATGAGGAGTACCCGAGTGTCTACCCACGGCAGTGGACTTGGCCTGGGCACGCCCACTTGCCTCTGTAGCACTGGGCCGAGTGATGACTAGAGCCTCTTCCTCCTGCCAGGATATCGGTGGCTGATGTGCAACTATCTTGGCCCACAGCTACAGCCATTGGGGCCTCCAGGTTTTGCAATCAGGGTTTAAAATGTGAACCACAGACAGAAGGGGGTGGGGAAGGGGTCCAGTGTCAAAGTGTCCCAGCTCCTCATTATGCCTCTCTGATGCCTGGCAATGGCTGAGCCATCCTGAGGAGCCCCCTACTCCTCCAGGCCTGCTCCACGAAGGGCCTCCACCCTCCTGACCCTTCCCTTCCTTCTTCCAGCGCCTCCGGTTCTGCCCTGGCCTTTCACCTCTAGGCGAAGCCCAGGAAGGCAAAGGTTTCTGACCAGGTTGTCTTTGTCTCCTGATTGGTCTCCTAGCCTCTCCTCTTCTGCGGCTCTGAACTTGCTCCCTCCTCCCTTGCAGGGGGACTGTCACCTGGCCACCCTAGTCCCTTATGGATAAATAGGAAAGCTGGTACCAGAAACAGTCCTTTTTCTGGCAGGGTCTGGTTATTACAACCAATTAACTCAATTATTAACTTTCTATAAAGTTATATAACTTTATATAACAATAAGCACACATGTAGTATAACTACACTATCACACCACATCAGCTGAGTGGGGGAAACCTTTCTCACCTAACACCCCTACCCCCGGCTCTCCCCTTCTCCACCCTCCCACCAGCACACATTTCTAAAGTGCTGAGGACAAGAGGAAGCAACAGGCTCCGGATCCTCAGGGTTGGTTTCAAGAAACTTCTTTTCCCAGGGAGCCCTGGGCGTTGGTCCCCACCAGACCCAGGGGCACAGGCCAGACCCTGGGGTCTGGATCAGATGCCCACCAAGTTTGTAATCCCCAGAGAGCAGCAGGGGAGACGCTGGGCTGTGCTGGCCACGTGGGCAGTGTGGGAATGCGGGACGGAGGGGCAGAATGAGTGAGCTCTGTTCGGAGTTTTCAGAGCTGTCCTGGGCGCCAGGAGCTGCGAGGTGGCGGAGGATGAGGAGCAGGTATTGAGACTTTTGGCCTACTTGGCTGCAGGGGATTTATTGTGCAGAGATGACTTCATGGTTCTCCAACTTGGGTGTGTAGCAGAGTGCTCTGGAGGCCCGGGCTTGGAGAAGAGGACCTGGGCCATGGCATTTTTATCATGCTCCCCAGGTGAATCTGATACCCCCCAAAGTGTGATACCCACACAATAGCTATCGTGTGTGCTGAGCCAAGGCAGGCAGCCAAGGGCTCCTCCTCTGAGAAGCCTTCCCAGGTCCCTCACGGGACAGCTCCTCCTGAACCACAGCACACGGCCTGCCCTTCGAGACCCAGGCGGCATCAGGGCTGGATCCTGCTTGCTGCACACTGTCTTGCCCCCATGAGCCCCAGACCAGTGGCTTCATCCTTGCCTCTTTGCCTCTCCAGCTCCTGGTGCAGACCTGAGATGTTGGTAGGTCAGCCATCAATATTTGTTGATGGTGACCTGCAGTTGACTAGGGGTCGAGGTCCAGGAAAAGCTGGCTGATGGAGGGTCCCATCCTAGAGGTCTGTGAGCCCCATGGAGGCTGAGGGGAAGGCTTGGCTCCTGCCTCACAAGTGACACCAGGCTGATGTACTGCAGTGGGCTGTGGGGCAGGGCACAAGTAGTGTGTCCCTTGGGCCCTCGAGTAACCTATGTGGGATGCTTCTCGATTTGCTGCCCCACGGGTGCGGCTCTAGCTGCCCTCTGGGGAGAGTCCAGTTCCCAGTGTGGGGGACACAATGGCTCAGCCTCCCCAGCCTGGCTGGCATTGAGGGGTGAGCACAGTCCTCAAGACAGGTGTGGCCTTGTCTGCCAGACAGGTGGGGACAGTGTCTGGGGCACAGCCTTTGGAGCCACAAGCCTCAGTTGGAATCCCAGCCCCACTGGCTGCCCTGACCTTGGTCAACTTACTTAATTTTCCATCTGTGTCAGTTTCCTCATCTAATGAGCAGGGGCGATGACTTCACTCCCTCATGAAGCCGGCGTGTGGCTCAAATTTTGCAGTTGTTTGCTTTTTCGTCATTGTTTTGTTTTGTTAACTGAAAAGTTGTGAAGCTCACAGAGCTGTGAGTATGTTGCCGGGGTTGGGTGCTGCGTGCCCTGGGCCTCTACATGACACAAAGGACGAGTTCTTGCTGCCTAGGACCTCAGAGGAAGCCCTGGGACCCTTCCTGGATCTCTGACTCTCTTCTCTCACGTCTTGGCGTCTTCTCTCTTTAACCCTTCTCTCGCTGGGTGCCTGTACTCTTCCCAAACCTTGACCCTCAGGAGACACCATCATTGCAGAACAATTTAGTCCTGGTCCCGGGTTCCTTTTGGTGTTCTGCAGTTCCACAGCCTCTGGCATCAGCTGAGTATCCTTGGTTTTCCTGGGCACCAGCTTTTGCTGGGATTGTCTCAGGGTTGGCCAGCTTCAAGCTGGGGGTGGGACAAGGACCTCCCCTCTCGGACCCATGGGATCTGGGGGAGGGGCAGAGAGGATGGAAGGGGGCTTCCACTCCAGGTTGTTGTGTCTCTCCTACAGTATCCAAAGTCACATGCTGTCCCCCTCCACACACCAGGCAAGCTTCCTCTGCAGACCTGTTTCTGGTCTGCATGAGAAAGTTGCATCCCTCCCGGTAGCATAACCCTCCCCCTCTGTCCTGCCCCCTGATAACCCTGGCATCACCCAGCAAGAGCACCTGCCCCTACCTGTCCTGGGACTGCCAGGTGTATTCTCGGGGACTGCTGGTGAAGGGCGCTGCACCACGCTCAGATGGCCACAGGAAGGTGGCGGGGGAGGGAGACAGGCCACTGCATTTTAAGTCCTAAAGCCTGGGGAGGATTAACTTCTGAAATCAAAGGGCTTTAGGGCCTCTCCTGCATGTCACACACAATCCGAGATGCTCCCCTGCGTGGGAGGAAACAGGCTTTGCCAGTTACTGAGCTCTTTGTTGTGTCTCAGCTTCAATCTTCCTTGTGAAGTTGGCTTCGTGCTACAGGGGTGGAGCCTCAGCTGGCGAGCTCTGCCCCGGGGAGGGGTTCCCCAGGGAATGCCACCTTCCTTCAGGTCCCCTGTGGGGGTGGAAACAGAGCTAAGAGCCCCCAGCTTCGCAATGATCCTGGACCGTTCTCTTCTCACATGAGTTCCGTGGGGCTGTGATCCTCGGGCGTCTCTCTGCCGTCTCTCTGCTTGTCCCTCCACAGCCCAAGGGGTATTGTCTAAGTTCAACTGTGATTCTTTTGCTTTTATTTTTAAAATTTATTTATAGAACAAACTCAGATCTGTGGTACAAAATGTACTTTTGTAAAAAAATACTTTTTAGTTTTAAAAATAATTATAGATTCACAGGACTTGCAAAAATAGGCCAGAGAGGTCTGGTGCATCCTTCACCCATTTTCTTTTTTTTTTCTTTTTTGAGACAGAGTCTCACTGTGTTGCCCGGGCTAGAGTGCCGTGGTGTCATCCTAGCTCACAGCAACCTCAAACTCCTGGGCTCAAGCGATCCTTCTGCCTCAGCCTCCCGAGTAGCTGGGACTACAGGCATGCACCACCATGCCCGGCTAATTTTTTCTATATATTTTTAGCTGTCCAACTAATTTCTTTCTATTTTTAGTAGAGACGGAGTCTCGCTCTTGCTCAGGCTGGTCTGGAACTCCTGAGCTCAAACAATCTACCCGCCTCGGCCTCCCAGAGAGCTAGGATTACAGGCGTGAGCCACCGCGCCCGGCCCCTTCACCCATTTTCCCGAAGAGTTATATTTATGTAAATGTTGTTCAATGTGGAAACCAGGGAAATTGGTGCAAGGGGTGTGTGTGGGGGGGTCTGTGCCATTTTACCACACGTGTAGATTCTCAAAATGTGCTTTCAGGCAGCTCTGGGCACCCCCCTCCCCCGCCACTCCCGCTTCGGTGTGGCTTCCTCGAGGGTAAGCCTGAGGACTCCAGGAGGGGGTCTCACGACTATTCGACGACGATTCCGCTCCTGAGGGTCTCTAGAGGCTGGCTCGGTGTGGTGAGGCCCCTGGAGGGCGTGTAGACGCCCTTCCCCGCCAGGGACTAGCAGGGCTGGGGGCGGGTGCCCTGGAGCAGGCCCGGGTGGTCTGCGATGGCAGCGCAGAGCAGCATCTGAGCAGTGAAAAATGGTCAAGACTCCACCATGGGCATGTTGCTGTCAGGGTGGCGGTGGGTGCCCCGCTGGGGAAGGAGACTTGCAGGGAGGCCGGTTTGCTGGGAGCTTTAGGGGCTGAGAAGGTGTCCGCCGAGGATCTGACACGTGAACCAGGCCGGGCTGAGACCTGGTCCTGCGTCCTGAGCGATGCACCCAACATCATCCACCTGCTGCTTCGGCTCCGATAGGTGCTGGGGACACAGTGGTGAATAAGACCCAGTTCCAATTCCCCAGGGGCCCAGAGTCAAGTGGGAAAGAGACACACATGAATGACATCAAAATAATGAAAACTGCTGGTCATTCTAGCTAACACTTGCTGTCTGCTTACTGTGTCCTTTCTGTGAATTCTCTATTTAATAGTCACGCCTCCCTGTGAGGGTCGAGCTGTTGTTACCCTCACTTTGCAGATGAGGAGACACTGATCTGGGAGGTTAAGCCACTTGTCCCAGCTGGTTGGTGGTGCCTCTGGGATTCAAACCCAGGCTGCCTGGGACCAGGGCAGGCAGAATGTGAGGAGGGCATTGCCCGGGTTGAAGGCTTTGAGTGCTTGGGGTGGGAGTGGGTGGCAGGGACGCTGGGCAATGTCCGGAGACATTTTTGCCTATGAAGAATGTGGTGTGTGCGTGTGCTACTGGCAGCTAGTGGGCAGAGGCCAGGATGCTGCCGAACGCCCTGCAGTGCACAGGACAGCTGCTGAAACAAAAAGCACCCCGGTCCCAAATGTCAGTCTTGCAGACCTGAGAGGCCCTGGGGAGAGTTTCCAGAAGGGACGCTGCCAGGACAGGGCTGGCCAGGTAGGGAAGCAGGAAGCTGGTTTCAGACAGAGCAGATGTAGGGAAAAGGCTGTGGAAAAGAACTCAGTGCCTGAGGGGCCCAGGGAAACCTGGGGTCACTAGACTCCAGTGGGGACCCTGGAGAAGGGGGCAAGGAGACCCGGGCCAGGCAGAGGAGCTGAGACTTTGTCCTGTGGCCAAAGGTAGCTAAGTTGGTACTTTTCAAAACTAACTTTATTTATTTTTGACTAGGCAATGTGTTTACATAATTCAGAATCCAAAAAGTATGGGGAGAAGCCTCTGCCCTTCCCTTTCTGCAGTGCCCGTGTTCCTCCTGGGAGAGGACGGATGGAGGTTATCGGTCTCTTCTGTGTCCTTCTCTGGTGTTTTCCTCTTTTATTTTTTAAACAGTACATTGCAGGATAAAAAAATGTCATCATAACATCATGATGCAATCAAAGTTGGGTGTTAACTAGGTCACCCTATGGATTTGGGGCAGATGAGGCAGGAGATGGGTCATAGGCTGTTGGTCCAGATCGCTGAGAGATGGTGAGGACGGAAGGGCAGGGAGGGGTGCAGGAGGAAGGTGCAGGTGGGATCTGGGCAGGAGGCGGGGCGGGGGGGAGTAGGAAGAGGCAAGGGCAATGGTCAGGTTTCCAGCTCAGGGCCAGGGCCATGGTGGGGCCACTCCTAAGATGGATGCAGGAGTGGCAGCAGCAGATAGGGACAAGATGAGAAAGAGGGCTGTGGGACATCCCAGGGCAGTGTCCCTCTGGCAGGAGGGACTCCAGGCTGGAGTCTGCCCAGCATCCGTTCCTCTTGCTGATTTCCGGGGAGCAGCCCCTTCACAGCTGCCTTCAGAGTGGGGGCCTCTGGGGCTCCCTGGGCCTTAGCAATAGGTTTGCCAAATAGTAATAAAATATGGGATGCCCACATAAATTTGAAGTTCAGATAAACAACTAAATCTTTACATATGTATATTCCAAATACTACATGCACTTGTCATTTATCTGAACTTCAAATTTAACTGGGCCGCCTGTGTTTGTTATTTGCTGCATCTGGCAGCCCTACTCGGTGAGAATGCAAGTCCCTGAGTGTGAGTCCTCAGAGTACCGGGCAGGCTGTCAGGCAGGATCTGTGTGAATATAGTCATGTTTTGGCACCTCTGGGATGACAGAGGGACAGCAGTGAGGCTGCGGCCAGAGGAGCCCTTGAGTACCCTGCCCGGATGAGGCGGGCTCCATCTGGTCCCTGAGGAGCCCAGCGGATGGCTCTGATGGGGTTCTGTTCTCTTTCAGTCTTGTCCCTGGTACCTCCGCAGGCCTAGCATGGTGACTGCCACCGTGCGGGGTCCGAGGATGCTTTAGCAAACAATCAACTGAATGAGAGAACAGATGAAAGAAGGAGAGATTTTGTGGGCCCCAGACAGTCAGAACTTTCCTGATGCCCTGATGCCCCCCACCCCCGTCTGGCCACTCGGAGCCTGAATCCTTCTGAGAGATTGGGGCTCTTAAGTCTTCCCAAGGGGCATAGAGGGTGATATCAAGAAGCAGCACCAACCTTGAGGCTTCTAGAACTTTCTCTGGGCCTGAATGTGAATCCTCTTGGGCGAGACCTTTAAATAATCCTTCTCAGCGGGACACTCCATTTTCCAACTTACTCAGCAGCATGTGGTCCTCTCCCACTGCCCTTGGGTTGGTGGGTGTTGGGTGTCAGGCATTTGAGACGCACTGCTTCTCGAACTCCATCTTCCCCTTCTAGCCTAATCCCACCCCTCTCTCCCCCTCTCAAGAGAGAACATCTAAATGGGAGTGAGAAGTCCAGAGTTTAGAAATAGCCTCAAATCTGTTCTTACTCACGTAAAAGGCACATCACACACAGACTGGAAGCGTGTGCTGAGTCACAAATCACATGCTGCGCACCTCACGGACAGCCGTACCCCAGCATCCTGCGATGAGACCTGCCCTCGGTGGGTTGCATCATCTGAAGGCAAAATGCCTCGTCCTGATTTCGTGGGTGCCACAGAAATGCTGTCATGGAATTAGCACTTATCTTCCTGTCCTGTGCCTTCCCAGGGGCGCGTGTGGGACAGCTGGTTTGACATGTCTTCCAGTGGTTTTTGTAAGTAAAACTGCGCTTGTCCTCAGCATCCTGTAGGATAGAACTTTGGGCTACATTTCGGCTTCAGTTTCATTCCAAGGGACAGAGTGCGAAGACAATGCCATTCCTTATTTTCCTTCTGCCTTTGCCTCTGCTGCGGGCCCCAGAGCCTGGCTTCTCACTCAGCTGTAGTAAGTGGCTTAGTTCAGGTTTCTCACGAGGAGCTGGAATCCGGGTGTTCTGTCTAAATCCTTCCTCTGCCACCTACTTAGCTGTGTGTCCTAGGCCCACTTGGCCTCTCTCTAGCTCAGTTTCTGCATCTGTGGACATGAATAATGACACTGCTGACCCCCTGGGTTTGGGAGTACTTGAAGTGTAGAACGCAGTGGGCACTCAGCAAAGGGTGTCCTGCCGTCCTTACCTGGCTTGCGGTGACTGATACTGAAACTTTTCACGTTCTTCCAGAAACAGGCAGGCAGCAACTTCAATAAAATTAGCAAAATCTGGCCTACATAAAATATTGGAAGAGGCTTATATCTGCATCTTCATTTGCATACATCTGCATAAGAAACACCTTAGCACCTCTTTTGCATTCTGGGATGACTGTTCTCCTAGGAGTCAGCAGCTCACGTGTGGTTGGGCTTGAGAGAATCCTGTGCTGGGAAGAGTCACCTCTAGGGAGAAGTTAGCTCTTACTGTGGCACTCGCCTCGCACTCCCACCTTGTAAGCCAGGGGTGGGGAACCTGCAGCCTCAAGGCCACATGTGGCCCTCCAGATCCACAGGTGTGGGCCCTTGACGGAATCCAAACTTTTAACAAAGGGTTCTGTAAAATTTGGATTCAGTCAAAAGGCTGTGCTCAAGGATCCAGAAGGCCACATGTGGCCCCAAGGCTGGAGATTGTTCAGGAGATGATGTCCCTTCACTCTCAGCTCACTCCTACACCCCTCTCCTGGCTGCTCTGGGCTCAGAACAAAGCAGTGCTATGAAGGTGCAGGTGTTTCTAAGATAAACACGCAGAAAACAATTGCAATGATGCTGGGAGCTTGACCTGCAGTACGTCCAATCCTGACAGCCTCTGAGACTCTCGGGGTTGCCTAGGTGGTCACAGGCAGAGTGACACTGTGAGGGTCCAGCCTCCCACCCCCAAATGCTTTGCGGAGCCACGCCGAGTGGTTGCAGCTGTTTTGCCTGGCTGCCACTCCGTGGTCACAGATACCTGAGAGTTGATGGTCAAGGTTGATTAGATGGGGTTGCAAGGCAGGAAGGCCCTGGAAATGCAGGGTCCGAGGAGCTGGGGCTCCCACAGGTCCTGCTTTGCTCGACTGTGCCTGCCATGGACCCTGTCCCTCCTGGCTGCCTCCTCTAGGTATGCACGGCCTTCACTGCAGAGTGCGCCAAGCACGGACACGTCAAGATGCACCACGCCTACACCAACGTGGTGGGCCTGGGGGACTCGAGCACGTGGAGGCTGCCTTGCCTCAACCGCTACGTCTACATGTTCTTAGCTCCTCTCCTGCTCCCGATCCTGACCCCACTGGTGGCTGTTGGTAAGTACCATGAACACCTGGCCCCCTCCTCGCCTGGCTTCATGTAGGCCACTTGTGGAGGAAGCCAGGAGCCCCAGATTAAGACCTGATGGAAACTTTCTGAGACAGCTGGGCAGGGTAGAAAGAGCCTTGGACCCAAGGCCAAGTCTGGCTCTGCCACTTGCTGGCTGGGGACAGTGGGCAGGTTCCATTCCTGCTCCCCCAGGTTGCTGTGAAGGAAAATGAGCTCACAGATGCAAAAATGCTTTGTAGACCACCACGCGTGATATCAAACGTTGCAATGTCTGATGTCATGGGAGCAATCTCATACCCTGGAAGGAGCAGGGGCTACGGGGCAGCCAGACCTGGGTTCAAATCCCAGGTCTTGACCTTGGTCAAGATGCTAATGTCTCTGTTTCTTCATCCATTCAATGCGGGAGCCCACGTTTCAGGGCTGCTGTGAGTGGGTGTTAACAGGACACACCCAGACTTGGCACCAGGAGCCAGTTCACGATGGACCTGAGCCTTGCCCGCCCCTCACTCTATGTCTTTCCCTCTGGCAGAGCAGCTGAGGCAGGTGGAGCTCAGGACGGCTCTGCGGACGCTGGGCCTGATCTCCCTGGGCCTCTATTCCCAGTACTGGCTGCTCCTAAACGTGTCGGGCTTCAGGAGCCCCAGCTCGGCCCTGGTCTGCATGTTCCTCATCAGATCCCTGCTGGCCCACCCCTACCTCCACGTCAACATCTTCCAGGTGAGGCCCCCCAACCCAGGTGCTGGGCGGCTAAGGGGAGGTTCTCCAGGTGCCTGCCTGCAGGCTGGAGCCAAGCCTGGGGGAAGAGGGGCCACCCAAAGAGGAGGCATCCCCCTGCTACTCCACCCGCTCCTCTACTTGGGTCATCCCGAGAGTTTTGGGTTCAGGTAAGGAGTTTGCTCCTCCTCAACACTGGCCGGCACTATTTCATCCACGCCCCATGCCCGGCCAGTGCCACGAGGCAGGCAGATGACAGAGCTGGAGAGGGGAGGCCTTCATGCGAGGCCAGGGCCCAGCATTCAGTTCTGGTGCCATTTCCACAGGGACACGTCCCCGCTCCCCCTGCCCAGGGAAGGCCCCAGGCAGTGCATCGTGTACTTCACTGTCCTGCGCTCGCCACAACTGCTGTTCATTACTGAATCCCATAATTGGCCCTATCTGCTTGTCCTGTGAGAACACAAGCTCCTGGTCACCTCTGAGGTCCTAGGCCGAGGCCAGCGCCTGGCAGAGGAGGCACTTGTACATGTTCATTGAATGAGAAGACACAAAAGAGGAGCACAAACTTGCTCTTGCAGGATGAGTGGGAATTTGACCGGTGAAGACAGCAGGAAGGGTCTCTCCAGGGTGAGGCGAGGGCACAGTGCCATGAGAGCAGGTGGTGGCCAGTTGCTGGTATTAGCACACCTGGGACCCTCATGGTGCAGATGGGGACAGAGGCCCAGAGATGGGTGAGACTCAGTGTAGGGCACAGGCAGGGTGGGCATTGGAGCCGGGTCAGGAGCCCAGTCTGCGTGGGGGCTGGGGGGGGGCAGAAGAACCCACTGGGTAGTGCTAGGTGAGGACACCTGGCAGGGGGGTTAGGGGAAGTGGTCCAGGGCTGCCAGCTCAGCCCCAGGGCGTCCTCACCTGGCTAACACTAACCCACGTGTCTGTCACAGCACATCGGGCTGCCCATGTTTTCCCGGGACCACAAGCCCCGCCGGATTCACATGATGAGCCTGGGGGTGCTTAACCTGGCCCGGCTGCCCCTCCTGGACTGGGCGTTCGGCCACTCGATCGTCAGCTGCCACGTGGAGCACCACCTCTTCCCCAGGCTCTCCGACAACATGTGCCTGAAGGTGGCTGAGGGCTGGGCTGGTGGGGGATGAAGGGACAGTCTGAGGGTGGAGAGGGGGAACCTTCAGGGTTCACCTGAACCTTGAGTCCCCCACCTGGCCAGGTCTGGGGCCACCCAGGAAAGGCAGCACAGTGTGTCAGCAGCAGCGTGGGTTTCAGATCAGAGACACCTGGGCTTCTCACAAGCAGTGTGACTCTGGACAAGTTAACTGAATGCCTCTGAGTCTCAGCTTCCTCTTCTGTAAAATGGGAGTGAGCAGTGCTTACGGTGGCAGGCTTTGGGGATGAAATGTAGAAACAGCTGTGAAATGTCTGGCACACAGTAGGTGCTTGGTAAAAGGGAGCTCTCGTTTCCATCCCCCTGAGCCAAGGACTGTCATGCAGCTAGAGCACTGGGAGGATGTCGGGAGAAGCCCTGCCTTCCTTTGCCTGCTGGGAAGGGGGCAGGAAATCTCTGACCTTAGCCCCCCAGCTCCTCCAGAGTGTCATGGAACAAGGCAGATGCAGGCTGGGCCCCCCCAAATCCCGGCTCATAGGCCCCTCCTCCTGCCCGTTTTCCCTCAGGTGAAGCCCGTGGTGTCCCAGTTCCTCCATGAGAAGCAGTTGCCCTACAACGAGGACTCGTACCTGGCTCGCTTCCGGCTGTTTCTCCAACGATACGAGGAGTTCATGGTGCAGGCCCCGCCGATCACGGAGCTCGTGGGGCTGCAGTGAGGCTGGGCCCGTTCGGCCACCCCCTCCCCTCCCTGGCCTGGGCCAGCCTTTCTGCTGCTGCTGACCCAGGGGTGTGGCTTGGTGGCTGGTGGCGGACCTGGAGGATTGCGGCACTGGGTGGCAGTGGGGCAGGGGAGCTCGCACCCAGGGTCCAGGGGGCCCCCTGCCTTGACAGCGTTTCTGGATTTCCAGGGGTGTCTGGGGGAAAGCAACAATGGTGGCTGGGCATGCTGATCAGTGTGGACCTCAGCCAGCTTCATCGCAGGACCAAACAGCTGACCCCTCCTCCCTCCCCATCTGAGCCTTGGTAGGGCTAAGGCGGTGACAGGGTGAGGAGGGATCCTGTGCAGGGGCCACCTGGGAGACGGGAGGGGGCACAGGCAGAGAAGGGTCAGCCCCCTAGGCCGGGGCCTCCCTGGTGCCGGGAGAGCCCCACACTGGCTTTGGCCACTGCTGCTTCCTGTACCCTTTGAGTCACTGCCCACCAAGGTGCCCTCCCCCCAGGGACTTCAGGGCGAGCTTGCTTTTGGCAGGCGTGCCTGGCTCTCAGCCAAAGAAGGCTGTGAAGACACTGGCTCAGCAGTTCCCAAGGCCCACAGTGTCTGTGAGATAAAAGTGAGTGTGTGTTTTGTGGGGAGAGGACTCCAGGGGAGAAAGTCCCTCAGGAACAGAGTTGGGGAAAGAGTATAAGTGTCTTCGAATGTGACCTTGGCTAGCTGTAGAAAAGTCTGCTTTGCTCCACGGTGTTTAGAGGCAGTAAACCTGGGGAATTATCCACTGGGAGAGAGAATCCCTGGGGGGTAGTTAAGGCTGGAGAGGGTTATGGGAACAGGGTCTGGAGGACGGATGGCCTCAGGGAGGAAGGGAAGGAGCGTAGGCTGCAGGGAGAGGAACTTGAGGTCAGGGCTGGGCTGGGTGAGGAAGGGTGGTCTGCAGCCTGGGAGTGAAGTGGGACTATAAGGGAACCATGGATGCCAGCCAGAGGAAGGGGCCAAGGTGCTGAGGGACACCACTGGGATTCAGCGCAAAGTGGGCAGAGTTAGAGACAGCTGGGAGCTGCCCCAGCTGGGGGCTGCAGGGCAGTGCCCAGGTGGAGACTGAGGGAGGGACAGAGGAGGAGGCCAGGCCTATGACAGGAGGTAGTTTAAAACAGGGCCTCTCACCTCAGCACCACTGACATTGACATTTTATCTGGACAATTCTTTGTTGTTGGGGGCTGTCCTGTGCATCGTAGAGTGTTTAGCAGCATCCCTGGCTTCTGCTTACTAGATGCTGGGAGCCAACGTCGTGACAATCAAAAATGTCTCCAGACATTGCCAAATCGTCCCTGGTTGAGAACACGCAAGTCATTCTCTGAGCACATAATTATCTTGTTTTTCAGTTAAATCCTTGGATGGGGTCAAGGGCGTGCTGACCCTGCTGATAGGGAGACTAACTCTGCCAGCAAATGGGAACTTGCGGGATGAGTGGAGTTCGATGACAGGCGAAGGCGTTCTCTGAGCCCAGTCCTGTTGGAGAACCCATCACTGGTGTGGCCTTGGGCAGCTCTGCTCCCCACTCATCCCCACCTTGCCTTTCTCTGCCAGAGACCACAGCCCCAGCTCTCACTAGTTGTGAAACAGCTCCCTGCAGGCCTGGGGCGGTAGTGGCTTCCAGCTATTGCTAGCCCAGGGGTGCTTCTCCATTGCCTTAACCCACACCTCGGTATAAAGTTCCTTCATTAAACTCTCTTTAGTCACCCCTTTTGAGTGTGCCATCTGCTCCCTGCTTGGAAGCTGGCTGATAGAGTGGAATTTTGGATCCAAACATCCCTTTTTGGACCAAGGCAGGCTTGGCAGCCTCCCCAGTCCAGTGCTTTCCTATATGTTATTGCTGCTCTTTTGAAATGCATTAGCGGCTCAGAAATGGCCTAAAGGTCTGGGAGTGCAATTAATCAAACTGCTAATTCTCCGTATGAAAAACGCAACGTCAGAAAAGGCCCCAGTTGCATAGTCCTGGCTAATGATTAAAACCATCCAAATACATAACAATGACTCATTGTTATTGATCTGGGCCTGAGTGGATTTTGGACAGCAGCTGGAAGTCCTGGTGCCAGATCTGGCTGTGCCATGGGCACCCTGGGAACAAGTCACTAGGCTCGATTTTCTGTTATTCTGAGGATGCGGGCTGGGAATGCCTGGGGCTTGAGAGGTGAGGGAAGGTGACAGGAGTGAATAAAGTAGGTCTGGGGCTCTGCAGAGAGCTAAAGTCTATTTTATAGAGGTATGTGGGAGATGATAACATGTATTGATAATGATGATAATAGCTGTTTATTTAGCACTTATGGCAGATGTTTTTACCCACATCATCGAATTTTAACCTTTACAACAAATTAGTACTATTTTCCCCTCACATTACAGATGGTGAAAAAAAGTCCTAGAAAGATTAAATTTCTCAGTGTCATACAGCTAGCAAGTGGTGGCAAAAGGACTCAAACCCAGTGTGTCTGACTCTAGAGTCCATACTCTTAACCACCAGACATACTGCCTCTGGATGGGGAGCCCTACAGAGCTTTCTAGGGTGTCTGATCCTGAATCTCCCAGTTTATCATTAAGACAAACTCTTCATGAACTTCCATTACGTGCCAGGCACTGTGTGAGACTCAGGGGATATACGAGTGAATACGATCCAGTCCTCATCCTCATGGCACTTACAGTCTAGTGTAGGGGTTGCCAAACTCTTTTTGTAAAGGGCCAGATGATAAATATTTTGGGCTTTGTGAACCATATGGTTTCTGTCACAACTACTCAGTTATGCCATCAAAATGCAAAAACAACCATGTCTATTTCTTTACCTAGACAATATGTAAAGAAATAAACATGGATGTGTTCCAATAAAACTTTATAGACACTGAAATTTGAATTTCATGTATGTTCATGTGTCACAAAATATTCTTAACTTTTTTTTCCATTAAAAAATGCAAAAATCATTCTTTTGGGTCATTCAGAACAGGCCAGTGAGCAGCATTTGGCTTGCAAGCCATAGTTTGCCTACTCCTGGTCTAGTGGGACAGGCATAAAACACAATGACTTATTAGAAAGCAGAACAGCATTTACCTCCCAGTAGGAGAGGGTGAGCGACTAGTAGGAGCACAGGGGAGTGCTGCGTTACAGGCCATGTTCTATTACTTGATCTGGGTGGTGGTTACATGGTTACACCTTGTGATAATTCATCAAGCTGTACGTTATGATTTGTGCATTCTTCTGTATGTTATACTTAAATTAAAAAGCTCACTAAAAATGACAAGTGGTGTAATAAGTAATGATGCGGTAGGGGTGGGTGCTGTGGGGACCAGAGGCCTTTAAGCCCTTGGAGCTTGGGAGGGGAGGGGTCAGAGAAGGCTTCTCCAAAGAAGCAATGTTTGACAAGAGGGTCTTTCGGGAAAAGGAAGAGGCATTAGGCTTATTGGATCCGACGTGACCACGGATCCTGTCCTTATTAAAAAATATATTTTGGTCATCATGGATTTTTGCATTAATTTTGATCTTTTAAAACGTCGCGTTATATTTATTTTGATTACTGAGTTTTTTGGTGCTCTCTTAAATTCTGGACCCAAGGGCACAGCTGGACAAGGGTCGGAGGCTCTGTCCTTAGTACCTAGGGGAAGCCACTCCCCCCCTTTTCGTCACCTATGTCATGGGAGAGAAGGTGAGGCGGGACAAGCTCTCCAGGGTTTAATATTCTCCCTCATAAGACACGGACAGCATCTTGCCGGAGTCACAGCAACACAACACCCGAAGTAGAAAAAGGGGCGGTTAGAGTCCGGGGAGCAGCCCCTTTTCTCCAGACTTCCGTACTCTGTGGCTGTCATCCAATGGGCGGGAAGACTCGCTGGGAACCGACTCGTAATTGGCTGGGACGAAGCCACCTGCAGGAGGATGCGCTATCAAAAGGCAAAGGCGCATTGCGTCATCAGCAAGCGACTAGAGCCTCCCCAGAGTAAGCAGCGGCTAGGTACAATAAGCTCCCTTCTAATTGGCTCTCTCTTTCGAGTGGGAGTGCAACAGCGATGGGGATTCGCTCTCTTCCAGCTCCAGGCTTCCGGTATTTGGAGGGAAGGTGACGATTGGGGAGAAATTAAGTCCCGTACGGCCCGGAAGTCCTGAGGGGCGGGGCTTCGGTGGTAGTGGGTGGGTCCGAAGGCGGGCCTCTCCTTTAGGGGGCGGGATTCTCTGGAGGTGCAGGTGGAGCCGCAAAGCTGCGCTTTCCCAGCGCATGGGAGGCGGGGTTGGGGGCGGGGCCTCGGTTGGGGGCGGGGCCAGAGGCAGGGCAGGAACGGGCAGGCGTGCAGCGCCTGGCAGGCGCCGGGAACAGATCCGCCTGCAGGCTGCTGTTCCCGGTCATGGCTTCGCGGTGCTGGCGCTGGTGGCACTGGTCGGCGTGGCCTCGGACCCGGCCGCCTCCCACCAGGAGCACCCCGAGTAGGAGCAGGGCACCTCTAGGGCTGGATGGGAGCGCGGGGAGGCCGGCAAACATTAAGTGTAGGGGTTGGAGCGGAGCTGGGGCAGGGCTGGAGACTGGCGAGACGAGAGGTCTATTCGTGCCAGCGAGATAGGGGTGGTGTTCGGGGGCGGGTGGGAGCCTGTGGGTTAGATGTGAGGCCTCTAGGTTGAGACAGGGGTCAACAAAGGCGAAAAGGAGAGACCATGAGGTCCACAGGTGTGAGATGCGGTGAACCTGGGTATCATGGAAATCTGTGGGGCGAGAGGGAAGTCTGAGGCGAACAGAAGTCGTCTATATGGGCAATACAGAGTTCCGTAGAGAGAGAGGGGTTAGAAGAGGTAATATGGGGACATCGTGAGGAGATCCATAGGGGCGAAATTGGGTGATATGGAATTTGTTAGAAAGATGTGGGATTCTCGCTGATTGGGTGGGGAACCCCGTAGGAAAGATGAAGTGTTGTGTAGAGCAGCTTGAGGTGATAGGGGTTTTGGGGTAGGCCATTGTTGGTGGTGTTGTAAGTTGACGGGAGAGATGTGGGCCTCTGAATGAAGATGCAGCTTTTGGGGGTTCAGGTGAAGTAGGGGACCCTGCAAACACCAAAGCTTTGAAGAACGAGAGAAGGAGGGTGCAGATAAGGGTGGAGCTTGGGAAGTTCTAGCTTCTGTAGGACACCGAAGTTGGTTTGGGGTTGGGGAGGGAGTGTTGGTTTTGACCTTCCTCCCCTTTCTCTGCCTGGCTGCAGGCTTCCACCAGCACTTCTCCACCCAGGAGAAGACACCCCAGATCTGTGTGGTGGGCAGTGGCCCAGCTGGCTTCTACACAGCCCAACACCTGCTAAAGGTAAGCCACTTCCTCCTGGCTCCCTCCCCCATCATTCACCTTCTGCTCCAATCCTGGGGGCATGCCTCACCCCCTTTGGTTTTAAGACTACTCCTGGATCCCTGATGGGAAGGGGCTTCCAGCCCATCTAGGCTGGACACTTCTCCCTGCTTCCTCACCTACATCTGGGGCGTCCCATGCTAGATCCTCAGGTGAGAGAGGTGGCCAGTGGTCAGCAGCAGGCGGTCAGCTCTGCCTCCTTGGCCAAGCACTCCAGGGAGCTTATGCAGACCTGAAGGATGACTTCATCTTCCTTCATCTTCCTTTCTTTCTCCTGTCTCCACTCTGTCCCCAACATCCTGTATCTTGAGCCTACCCCCATCCTCAGATTTCTGTAACTTTACCTACCTTGCTGTACCCTCCTCATCCATAGCTCCAGCCCTCCCCTTCCATTCTGTTCTTTTGGCCTGGCCTGTACCCCCTATCCCTCCTGCGCCCTCCCTCCTCCCCCCTCACTCCTTCCCCCTCCTCCCTCCATCGCCTTCCTCCCTCCTTCCCCCTCTTCCCCCTGTAAAGGCCAGGTCTCAAGGCTTTCGTATCAGCCTTGGCAGGCAGGGCCCCAAGGCTGCTCGTTACACTTGAAACTCCACATTGGACCTTGGGACAGAAGGGAGAAAGGAGACCCAGATTGACTGAGACATGAGACAGTGGCCTAGCTTTGGAGGGGCTTGGAGGGGCTTCGAGTATCTGTGGAGGGACAGGAGAAAGGATTCATATATTACTTATGTACACGCACAGACACGCGAAATGTAGGGTGACCAACTGTCCTGGTTTTCCCAGGACACGGGGCTTTAGTGCTAAAACTGGGAGTGTCTCGGGGAGACTAGGATGAATCAGTCACTCTGCTGAAAAGTGACCTATTCATGCTTCGCAAGCAACACAGGCGAGAGAGCTAATTGCAGTGATGTGTGCAGAGTGAGCCGAGTCAGTTGGGGTTAATCAGAAACTGTTTCCTGGAGAAGGTGCATTTGAGTTGCATTGAAGAAGCCCACAGGCTGTGGCCAGGGCCTCCCTTGTGTGGGGAGTCATCCTGGGATGCAAAGGCAGGGGCAAACTGCCCTGTAGGAGGACAGCCTGGGCCTCAGGATGGAGACCAGGAGCTCATGGGGGCAGGGAAGGCCCTGGAGGACTTCATATAAGGGGCATTGTATTAGCTGAGCCTGAAATTTTGGGAGGGGGAGACTAGGCCTTCCAGGCAGGGTTCTTAAGGCCCCGTATGTGAGCAGAGGCTCTGGCCTGCACTCAACTGTACTTTTTTTGTGGGATGGGCTGGGGATGGACACAGGCCAGTTACAAGCTGATCCTTGCCCGCAGGGAGCTCCATGCTAATGGCTCTGCTCCTAAAATGGGACCGTGTGCAGCACGTGTGGGGCAGTGGCACTTAGCTTGAGTCAGGCACTGAGTACAGCATCTCATAGCATCCTCAAGACAACCTGCAAAGCAGGTGTCATGACTCTTGCTTCACAGGTGAGGATGCAAAGGCTGAGTAAGGTGGTCCGAGGTCCCACTGCTGAGGAAGGAAGGCGCTGGGATCTGAGCGAAGGCACCCTGCTCTTACGCACCATGCTGGGCCATTCAGTCAGTCATTCAGTAATCACTTACGGGACACTGATACGTTCCAGGCGCAGGCTGCACCGGCAACGTGGTGGTGAGGAGGACAGAGGTGGTCCTTGTGCTCAAGGACGTAGCATTCTAATGTGAGGGTGGTTGGACACCCCAGGGCTCTGATGGGTGTAAGCACAGAAACTTGGGGTTACAGAGAGGGGCCCCTAACCTAGTCTGGAGGAATAGATGTCCAAATTGTAGTCTGAAGGACAGCAGGAGATGTCAGGGGACAGAATGGCAGGAGTGTCCCAGGCATAGGGACGGCATGGACTAAGGCCAGAAGAGGGGGAGAATGGCCCTCCAGGGAAAGGGCAAGTTCCAGAAGGTAGGCAGGTGCAATGAGGGCTAAAGAGATGAGAGTCGAGGCTAAGAGGTAGGTGGGACCCAGATCTTGGGGGACTTGGAGGTCACTGCCCAGGCTGTGGCCTCGGGCAGTTCTCTGGGTGCCGTCCACAGCTCCCTCCCCTCCATGCATTGGAGTCTTATTAAAATGCACATTTCTGGGCCTAATCAAACCCTGTGGCCTGGGGCCTACGAATGCGCAGTTTTAAACAAACACCCCAGGGGATTCCGGCACCCACTGCTACAGGCGGTTGGCTTCACTGAAGATTTTTAGACAAGGGACTGCCAGGACCCCATTTTTTCTTTGGAATGCTTCTCTGCCTACAGGACAGGTATAGGCAGGGCTGGCAGCCAGGAGAGCAGTGGGAGCTGCTGGGGTGGCAGTGAGGAGGAGGAGGACCGGGAGGATGTGGGACTGATGGGACAGGATGGGGGAGTCGAGGAGGAGCCGAGGGTTCCAGCTTCTGCGCCGGGTGGGCAGTATAGAAGGGAACACAGGAGCAGAAGGGGAGAAGTTTGGGGGCAGGGGACATGGTTTTAATCTGGATGGGTTTGAGATGCCTGAGGTAAGGCCGCCCGGGGGTCTGGGGTTTGGAGCCTGGGGAGAGGTCTGGGCAGGAGAGAGAGTGGAGTATCTCCAGGAAGTCCACAGGCATCTGAGGGCACAGGAAGGAGTGGGTAAAACCTCCCCAGGGAGTGGGTGCCCAGGGAGAAGGGAGGGGTCCCAGATCGGAAGGACTTCAGAGAATGTCCTTGTTAGAGGGGGCGCAGCTGGAGGGGACGGCGAGAGTCAGGGAGAGGTTTCCTAAAGGACAAGGTCAGCCATGTGAGGGCAAATGCAGCCAGCAGATTAGCATTGTGGAGGTGGCCTTGGAGAGAGCATTGCGACCCAGGGCGAAGGATCTGTAACAGGAAGAATGGAAGACAGAGAAGAAGAGGTCGCATTGGGTAGGGTATTGGCCGCCGGGCTAAGCAGTTTGAACTTCGCCCTGTGGCAGTGGGCAGCAAGGGGAGGCTTTTGAGCAAGGCAGTGACGCACACAGCAGTAGTAGTAACCATAGCTTACGAGGGACTGAGGGACTGAGCGCTCACAGTAGGTTGTGCCCTGCGCTGACTGCGTAAGTGATTAATCATTTAACCTTGAGCGTGAGGCCAGAGGGATGTTCTTCTGTTGGACTGAGAAGTTAAGAAACTTTGCCGAGGGCACAGAGCCCCTTAGTAGTGGAGCTGGGATTGGCACCCAGGGCTGTTTGACTTCAAGGCCAGAGCCCTTCGTGGGTACAGCATCGTGGGGTTTGAGGTTGGCGGTTTGGGCGGCCCCTGTGGCTGGCCTGGGATGGGGAGAGGCGGGATGTAGGGGGAGGCTGGGCTTGGGTGCAGGAAGTGGTGGGGAGAAGAGATTCGGACAAAGGGAGAAGGTGAGTGTGAGCCTGTTTCCGGGGCAGGGTGACTGGACGGAGGGTGCTCCTTCGCTTTCAACTGGGAGGCGTGACAGCAGGCGCCTAGGATGGGGCTGGGGGCCAGGGCATGTCATCCCTGGGAACCTGCTTGTGGCCCAGAGTCTCTCCCCGTCCTGACCTCCCAGGCTGTCCGTTTGCAGAGGGGGAGACTGAGACCTGGGGGCATCCTGGGACTCGCCAGGGTCACGCAGCCAGTGGTGGCAGAGCCAGATCAGACATGTCTGCCCAACCCCCAGCCCTGTGCCTTCTGCATGGCCTCTCGAGGTGCCCTGGGAGGGCAGTCAAAGTGGAACCCTGTGTGAGTGAGATTGTTTTTCCCAAGCCTGGGAGCAGGCCCGTCTCCATCTCTCTCTGCCCCCCACCTGCCTCAGCTGTGCCCGCTCCCTGTCCTGCTGGTCCCCTTTCCAACAGAGTGGTCCTGGAGACTAGAGCGAAGGCAGCTGTGAATTTTAAAGGGTAGTTCTCAGTTCCTCAGACTGGCTGGGCATTTTGAGAAGTGTTGAAGAGTTGAAGGGAAGGGCTGTGGGTGACGCCTGACCCAAGGAGAAGAAGCTGCTCTCCTGATACGACTCCAGTGGAGGGGGAAGCTACAGCCCTCCTCAGCTGGCCACGTGTCCTACAACCTCCATGGGCTGGCAGTCCTTGAGGTCTGATCTCAGCTCTTCTTGCTGCTTGTGCGGCCCGTTTCCCTTGTCCGGCTCTCGGGGCAGGTGGAGAGTGGAGTGTTCTTTCTCCTTGCAGAGGGTCGAAGCCTCCTGTGTCCTCAGCCCACTAAGCTGAGCTCCCCTGCTCTGTCTGGGGAAGGGGAGGGCCCGTGGGTCCCAGCCCCTCTCTCCATCCCACCAACTGCCACCCTCTCCCCCAGCACCACACCCAGGCCCGTGTGGACATCTACGAGAAGCAGCTTGTACCTTTTGGCCTGGTGCGCTTTGGCGTCGCGCCTGACCACCCCGAGGTGAAGGTGGGTCTCTCTGGGCCTGGAGGGGGCGGTGGGGTTGGGAGATTGGTCGAGACAGGGAGGCTCCCTGGCTGGATGGAATGACTTCGGGCCCTCTGGATGTCACCCAGCCTCCATCCTGGGACACTGCAGGCGAGGGTGGTCCAGGCATGGTCCCTGGAGATGCCTCACCTGCTAACCCCTCCCACTCTGGGGTCGCCCAACAGAATGTCATCAACACGTTTACGCAGACAGCCCACTCTGACCGCTGTGCCTTCTGGGGCAACGTGGAGGTGGGCAGGGATGTGACAGTTCCAGAGCTGCAGGAGGCCTACCACGCCGTGGTGCTGGTGAGTGCAGGTGGGTGGCTGGGAGGGGGAGGCCGGGGCTGCAGCAGGAGGCTGGCGGCTGGGGTGGAAGGCAGTGGGGTGAGGCCAGGATGGAAGCTGCAGAGGAGGAGGTGGAAAGGGGCCGCTGGGGTCTGGGGGGCCGCTGCCCAGCCCCTCAGTGCTGGTGCTAAGGGCTCTGGGCCTCGGGCCTGCGTTCTTTCATCAGAGCTACGGGGCGGAGGACCACCAGGCCCTGGACATTCCGGGGGAGGAGCTGCCAGGTGTGTTCTCGGCCCGGGCCTTTGTGGGCTGGTACAACGGGCTTCCTGAGAACCAGGAGGTGAGTTTGGGGAGCACTCCTGCTGCCTCTTCCTCCCCTCAGCCAGGGCCAGGGGCGGCCCTTGGATGCCAGAGTTGGGGGCAGCTGCCAGCCAGTGGCAATGATGGGTGAGTCGAGGAGATGTGAGGCATTGGGCTGACTGAGGCAGGAGGTCTGCTGTCGAGGGCCTCTGGGTACAGGTGGGGCTGGATCGAAAGGAGCTCGGGTGGGGTGGACTTTCCAAGTGTGGGGGAGCCTGAGGGGGCACTGCTGGGGACCGAGCATGAGGCATCTGAGGACTGAGATTAGCCTGACTGGAGCCATGACCAGGGGGACCCTATCAAGACCTTTCCCCTCCAGCTGGCACCAGACCTGAGCTGTGACACAGCCGTGATTCTGGGGCAGGGGAATGTGGCTCTGGATGTGGCTCGCATCCTCCTGACCCCACCTGAGCACCTGGAGGTGAGTTGGGGCTGAAGGGGTGGAGGTAGAGTCACACCAAGGAGAGGGTGCCCCTGCCTGCAGAGTTCAGGCCTCTCCCCTGGGAGCCCAGCTCAGTGCCTCTGTGTCCCCATGGTGCCCAGGCAGAGGCCTTCTGAGAGCCAATCCCATGAGCTTCCTCTTGTACCATTTCCCCCTTCACTTTCTGCACTTCAGCTAAGGGGGACTTTTTAAAAACTCTTCAATGTGCCACAGGACCTTTGCACACACCTTCCCCTCTGCTCGAAACCTTCTGACTCACCTCCTGTCAGTTAACGGTTAAAGTTCATCTTTTAGATCTTGGCTCGGTTGTCCCTTCCTCCAGGACTGCCCTGAATAGGTCCATTTCCCCTGTAATACCCTCCTCTCATAGCCCTGTCTACTTCTGTTTCATACCATGTTATCCCCAGCACAATTTATACTCACTGAGGAGCATTTGATGAGTATCTCTCCCCAGCTGATCAGAAGCTTTGTGAGGGCTGCACCGTGTCTGTTTTGTTCACCATTGACCACCCCTGTCCCTCCAAGCTCTGTGTCAGTGCTGGGCACGTGGCAGACGTGCAGTAAATACTTGTTGAATGAAGGAGTGTGGGCCTGGTTTGCTGGTGGTTGGAGCCATTTGCCGAGTTGGCAGCAATGCTCCATCTGGCCACCAGGGGGGGCAGCAGTGCAATTTTGGATCACCAGCCTTCTGGCTCAGGGTAGGGACATGACCAAATGGAGAGTCCCCTTCCCCAGGTCAGTGTCCGATGACTTCAAGGCCCTCCTTTTGTGCCAGAGAACGGACATCACGAAGGCAGCTCTGGGAGTGCTGAGGCAGAGTCAGGTGAAGACGGTGTGGATAGTGGGCCGGCGTGGACCCCTGCAAGTGGCCTTCACCATTAAGGTGCTGGGGCTGGAGGGGGAGGGGGAGGGGTCCCAAGTAGTGGGCCTCCCCTTGCGGGGGCAAAGGGACGGGAAAGGTGGCGCAGGCAGGGCCCCTGGGGCCCTGTGCCTTCCGTGGAGGAGGGTGGTGGTGGTGTGGCCTGCCCGGACTGGACTCCGGGGTGGCCTCAGCGGTGGACGGTGTTCTGGGTCTCACCTCCTCCCCCACTCCCTGCACCCACCCTCAAGGAGCTTCGGGAGATGATTCAGTTGCCAGGAACCCGGCCCATTTTGGATCCTGAAGATTTCCTGGGCCTCCAGGACAGAATCAAGGGTGAGGGCCCTAGCTTGGCCCCCCAGATACTAGGATGAGGATGGCCTGGGTTAGAGAGGGCGTGGGGAGGGTGTGCAGGGAGAGGGCTGTGACCCAGGGACAGCCCTGAGACGTTGTATGTTGCTAACAGAGATCCCCCGCCCAAGGAAGCGGCTGACAGAACTGCTTCTTCAAACGGCCACAGAGAAGCCAAGGGTGGAGGAGGCTGCCCACCTGGCGTCGGCCTCCCGTGCCTGGGGCCTCCGCTTTTTCCGAAGCCCCCTGCAGGTGCTGCCCTCACCGGATGGGCGGCGGGTAGCAGGCATCCGCCTAGCAGTCACCAGACTGGAGGTGAGTCCTGTGTTACCCAAAGACACCCCCATTCTCAGGCCTCCCCCACCCAAGCCTGGTGTTGCCCGCACTCTCCCCAACAGGCTGTCGGTGAGGCCATCCGGGCAGTGCCCACGGGAGACATGGAGGACCTCCCTTGTGGGCTGGTGCTGAGCAGCATTGGGTACAAGAGCCGCCCTATCGACCCCAGTGTGCCCTTTGACCTCAAACTTGGGGTCATCCCCAATATGGAGGGCCGGGTTGTGGATGTGCCAGGTGAGAAGGTGTGAGAAGCTGGGCACTGAATTATGGGAGGCTGGTGTCTCCTGGGGCCACTCATTCATTCATGTAGTGACACACTCTGAGAAGCTGCTCTGAGGCAGGCCCTGTCCCAGAACCCAGTGACACCCTCCTCCTGGCCCTAAGGGAAGTTCCCAGTCTAGCTGGGACACATGGGACATATGTCTGGTCATTAAGTCATTCAGCAGACATTCTGAGGCCTGCCCTGGGCTAGGCTCTGCTTAGTGCTGGGATTGGAGATTAATAAGGCAGCCCCTGTCCTCAGGGCACCTCCAGTCTGATAAAATACCCACATACCTACGCAGTCATTAATTCATTCAGTGAGCACTTACTAAGGGCCTGCTGAAGATGGGCACGCCCCGGCTCCCACCCTCAGGGAGCTCTTCATCTGCAGGGCAAGCGAGGCATAAGGCTGGTGGCGTGGGGAAAACATGTGGAGAAGAGTCCGGGGCGGTGGGCAGGGGCCACTGCAGGCTCGGCTGACGGTGTGCTGGAGACACATGTGCATGTGTGTGTAGGTTGGGGCCTGGGCTTGCCAGAGTGGTATCCGGCCACCTCCGTTTCCTTACCCCTTTGTTACCCCCTCTCAGGCCTCTACTGCAGCGGCTGGGTGAAGACGGGACCCACAGGTGTCATAGGCACAACTATGAATGACAGCTTCCTCACTGGCCAGATGCTGCTGCAGGACCTGAAGGCCGGGCTGCTGCCCTCTGGCCCCAGGCCTGGCTCTGCAGCCATCCAGGCCCTGCTCAGCAGCCGAGGTCTGGACCCTGATGCTGAGGTCCCGGGAAGGGGGGTGGGTGGCCCCTCTTTGGGAGGTAGGTATTCTTGGGGGGGGGAGTTGAAGGAGGAGGTAGTGACAGTGACTTGTCTCCCCTCTGCTTCAGGGGTCCAGCCAGTCTCTTTCTCAGACTGGGAGAAGCTGGATGCGAAAGAGGTGGCCCGGGGCCAGGCCTCTGGGAAGCCCCGGGAGAAGCTGGTGGACCCGCAGGAGATGCTGCAGCTGCTGGGGCACTGAGCCCAGATCCCAGCCCCTGGCAGGGAAGGGGCAGGCAGAGGGCCCCGGTCAGTCGAGTGGGACTCTGCATGCCAGCTGCATCACTGCCTGCCCTGGCTCACAGGCCTGGCTGCATCTCTTCCAGGGGCCTCTTGAGTACTTCGTCTTACAAAAAGGTTGCCTTACCAGTGTAGGTTTAGCTTTCAGCAAGGAGGTGATCATAGTTAGGGTGGGTGGAGGTTCCGGTTACTCCCTCCCACCTCTCCTGCTGGACTGTGGAGGGTCACCAGATGCTGGAAATAAAACAGCTGCGACCAAGGGCCATAGTTGATGTGGGGCTTCTTTTGGGGCAGGGGTCACCTTCTGGCGGCAGCTCCCCTGTGTTCACCAGGTGGCGCTGCAGAGACCACCCTGCTCAGGGGCCTCTTGGGGGTTTGACCAAGTTTGGCAGCCAGGCCTGGATCACCCACCCTCCCTTTCTCGGCTCGGCCCTGCTGCCGCAGTGGCCTGCCTGTGTTCTGCTCACCCTGCGGGCACCCGGATGGTGACCCCAACCTGCCTGCTCTGTTGGCCCCACCGCCTGGTGCCCTCCCCGGTTGGCCCCAGTACAATCAAACCAGAAGAGAAAACGTGGGAGCAAGAGGACTGGACAGCAGCCTGCCCCCAGTCCCTCCGGGTGGCCCAGGCACTTAGGGATGGGGTCCTCCCTCTCTCTCTGCTCCCAATGCCTTCTCCGTCGGTTTCCAGCCAGATCCAAGAGCCTTTTAAAAATAGTTCCTCAATCTCCCGTTGTGCTTTGCAGTGCACAAAGTGTGTTCATGGTCTTTTATGGCGGCCCCCAAGATGCTGGCCCTGCTTTATAAACAGGGGGATCCCCGAAATTAACTGGCCCAAGGTCACACAGCACGTGAACTGGGGTCTCCGGACAGGCTGGTGTTTTTCCCAAGGCTGCAACCGGTCCCGAGCGTCGGGTCTGGGGACACGGTCCAGGAGAGGGGAGAAGTGACCCGGGCGTCCGGCGCGCCGCTCGGCCGCGGGCGGGGGCGGGGCGGAGGCGGCGGGCCCCTGCGGGGCGGGCCCTCGCGGGCGGCGGCGGGCGCTCCGCCACAGTCGGCTGGCGAGCCCTGGGAGCCGGAGGCGCGGCGCACAGCCCAGCCCGGGACGGAGCCGGGCGCCGAGCGGGCCACGGAGGGCCGCGGGGCGCTGGGCGCGGGGGCGGGCCTGGGTCAGCCCGCCAGGCCGCCCGCCCACGCCCGCCCCGCGGCGCCGGGGCTCAGGCGTCCGCCGAGCTAGAACCGAGCGCGCGAGCGCACCGGGGCCGGGGCCGGGGCGCCGGGACATGCACCGCGCGGGAGGCAGTCGGCGCGGGCTCTGGGCGCGGGCGCAGCGCCCCTTCTCCCCGGTGAGTGGCGGGCGGGGGGCGCCAACTTCGTCGCCAACTTGAGTCTGGGCTCAGGCGCCGCGCGGGCAAGGACGGCGGAGACAGACGCGGGACACCGGGGGGAGTCGAGCCTGCGCAGGACTCTCGGGCGCGGGGAGGGGGCGTCCGTGGACCCCGACCCTCGGGAACCCGGCCTGGGATTTGGACCCGGGCGGCGGGAGAGGAGACGAGGAAGAGAGGCCGAGGAGACAGGCGCGCGGCGGACGCGAGGGACGACGCGGGTGAAGCGTCCAAGATGTTTGTCCCCAGGGTCGCCGAGCCCTCCTCCTCCTTCCGTGGCGCCGCGGCACCTCTGGGCAGGGGGCGGTGCGGGGACGCGGAGTCTGGGTGCCGGGCCCCCCAACTGTTGCTGCTGGAAGCCTTTGGGGCGGGGAGCGGGGAGCGGGGCCGGGAGCGGGGCCGCGGCTGGGTTCGACCAGAGCGAGGAGTGCTGGAGAGGGCACGGAGCGAGAGAACGAAAGGGGGCTGCGGCGGCTCTCGGAGCCGGGTCCCCTGGTTCCCCCAGGGCTGCTGAGCACCTGCTGCGCATCTGCCTTCGCCCCCGACTCCTCCACCCGCCGTGAGTCCCCGGCTTCTTCTCCTCCACCTCTCCTTCCTTTCCTCTGCCCCAGCGTAACTCTGTCTTCTGTGGCCCCAGGGAGTCAGAGCGCGCTCCTGGGGTGGTGGGGTCTTCCAGACGCAGACCCGCGCCCGGCTCCCAGGCTCTGAGGGCGGAAGGGAAGGGCGGGCCAGGAGGGCGCTGGGAGAGCAGGACCGGCGCGGTGGGCCCTGGCCGCCGCTCCAGCCAGCTGCTCTGGTCTCTGGGGGGCTTCAACTAGGATCCCCGACGGCTGGGAGGGGAAGCCCCGACTCTCCGGTTTCGTGCCTAGGCCTAGCGGGCAGGGCGGGGATATGCGGAGGAAAAGGCGGCGCCCCCAGCAGCCTGAAACCCCCAGGGGTGCATTCCGCCACCCTTCCGAGGTCCTGGATCCAGGCGGAAGTTCCCTCCAGGCCCTGACGCTCACCCCGTTCGCCCACCCTGTTTCCCAGCCCTGGTCGCCCAGTGGGTCTTCTGGCTCGGTCCCGCAGCCCTCGGATGGTGGCGCAGTTCTGGCTCAGTCCCCAACCCCGGGCCACGGGAAAATCGAGGAAAGAAACTTATTTGGGGAGGGTGCCATCCCTCCGGTTCTATTTCGAAGCCCGTCCAGTTCCTGGTCGTGCCAGTGGCTTTGAGCCTGTTCCCAAACTCCGAAGAAAAGAACGTGAAAGGGGCAGGTAGGCAGGAAACGGGACTCCTGGGTTCGCTCCAGGCCCTAGGGCAGGCCTGGACCGTTTCCCGGCCCACAGCCCGCCTGCCAGGCGAGCCGTGCCATCCCCCACCGCGGGGCTTGAGGTCGCGACCCAGCTTGGGGGGAGGGGGGTGAGGGCCCAGGAGCGGGGGACGCCCGCAGGGGGCAGCGGTGAGGCGGGGGGCGCCGAGTGCGTGGTGCCCACTCTGGCCGCCAGGAGGCGTGGCTCGGGTCTCCGCGCCGGGAGTCGCCGCCGCCGCCGCCGCATCGCGAGTGTCCTTGAGCCGCGGGTGACGGTGGCTCTCGCTGCTCGCGCCCCCTCCTCCCGCGGGGGGAGCCTGATGCCACGTTCCCTATGAATTATTTATCGCCGGCCTAAAAATACCCCGAACTTCACAGCCCAAGTGTAAGAGATTCCTGCGGAGGGGAGGGGGCGGGGCGCCCCCGGGGGGCCCGGGCGGGATCGGCGGGGAGCCCGGGCAGTTAGGCTGGGAGGAGCGAGGACTCGGTGCCCCCACCAGTGGGGGCAAGATAGAAGGGCAGTCTTCCCCTGATGCCTGGGTTCGGGTTTTGGCTGGGCAGAAGGGAGGGAGGGAAACCCGACGGCAAAGGCGGGCCGCTCACCCAAAGGGCAGTGGGTCTCGAGGGGCCGCTGGTGGGTGGGGCCGACTCCTGGGACCAAGTCTCCTAGTCCGGGAGAGGGGGAGCCGTCAGCATCTCGGGTGTGCATGTGTGCACATCTGCGTCAGGGAGCCTGCCTGAGATGTGGGGAGCGGGGAAGAGAAGGGCCATAAGCACGTGGGTGTCCTGGGCCCTCAAGGTGATGCTGAGTGTCCTGGAGGACTGACCATGGCCTTCCTGTCCGGGCCTTTTTGGGATCCGAGTGTTTGTGAAATGTTAATTTAACAGCTGTTTGTAGAAGGATTGAGACCCTGAGTGGGTGGGCAGAGGTCTCTAAGACCCTTGTGCCCCTGGTTAGCCCACAGTGCAGTGTGGGGAGGGGGTGTCCTCTAGTGGGCAGACACCTGCCACAGGGCTGAATGGAGGTGGCCCCTGCAGAGGCCTAGCAAGAGCTCCCAGCCCAGGAGAGGAAGTGAGGGGAGTAGGAAGGAGGGCAGCTGGCCCAGTTAGGACGTGGACCCTATGTCCAGAGCCTGATGGCTCAAGGTAGGTGCCCTCTGGGAGAGGTATTTAGGTTGGTCCCTGAAGGACAGTAGACTGTTGTCTCAAAGAGGACATTCCAGCCTGGGGTACAGCAGGAACAAGGGCTGGAGGATAGGACAGAGTGGGGCTGTTTGGCCATCAGACTGGCAGGGTTGTGGGGTCCACAGAGGGGAAGGGTGTATGAGCCCCTGTCCGTGGGACTAAGGTGTCTGGACTTCATTTGTGGGCACCAGGGAGCAGCTGTCCTGTTTGAGGAGGGGTGTGGTGGCCAGAGGAAAGGTGGGGCAGGCAGGGGTGGGTGGATGGGAGGCGGAGAGTTGGGAGGCCAGGGGAGGAGAGAAGGGAGATGGGGTCAGGGCAGGGTGGAGTCTGTCCCTCTTATCTTTGTGGGGTGGCTGAATGCGACGTGGTGATGACGCTCCTTGGGTCCACCCATTGCTATTTGGAGCTCAGAGACATGCCTGATTCCGGCCCTCCCTCCGGAGGCGTTCTGTGAACCCTCCCCCATTTCGGGCCCCTTGGCTGAAGGCATAACCTGCCTCAACTTTTCTGCCTCCCCACCCCCAACCCAGGAGGAGCCCTCCCCATTGGGGAGAGTCTGTGGGGGCAGTGCCCCTTTGGCGTTGGGGGAGGGCTTGGGCTCTTTATCCAGAGTCACGCTGTCCCAAAGAAATAACATGGGAGCCACAAGTGTAACTTTAAATTTTCTAGCAGCCACATTAAAAAAATATTTAAAAAGTGAAATTAATTTTAATAGCATATTTTGTTTAACGCGATATATCTAAAATGTTATTTCAACATGTGACCAACATGTAATATTAATGAGATCTTTTACATTCTTTTTTTCATATTGTCTTCTATATCCAGTGTGTATTTTACACCGACAGCAGACCTCAGTCTGGGTGAGGACATTTCCAGTACTCCATTGTTCAGTGTGACTGGTGGCTCCTGTATTGGACAGTGCAGATCTAGAGCTGGTTGCTGGGAGGCAGAGGGCGCAGGAGGCTTGGGGCTTCCCAAAGGGCAGGGACTTCTAGGGCCTGGAGGTGTGGGCAGCGAGGAGCACACAGAGGCCTTCCAAAGGTAGCAGCAATGCCTTTTATGGCCACGATTTGACATCCTCAATCAGTAGTAGCTGGGGCACAGTATGGCATGGCATTGCTTAAGACCTCATTCCAGACCCAAACATATCTCTGAACTCTCAGTTCTGTGTCAGTGTACTAGGGCCCACACTAGCGCACCGACATGAATACAGCGTTCTCTCCCTGCCGAAGCTCCTGCCTGCTCAGCCTGAAATGGTACCTACCACCTGGCACTTTAGCTTAAGGCTCTGGCTGTTGTTAAACTATGTCTCTTGGGAATTATAACACTTTAAGCTATTATCAGCCCCTTATATCTTCATGTGAATGAGCTCTAGATCCTTGGCTAAGAAAAGATCTTGCTGGGGGAGGCTGGGAGCTCACGGGGAGTAGAGAGGGTCGGATATTGGTGGGAAGAGAAATGAGTGTAGAGAAAAGAGGTCGGAGGTGATTATAGTGGTGCTTGTTCTACATACAGATTTGACTCGTACCTGGAGGGCAGGGACCATGTCTTGTCCAGAAGGACATTCCACCATGCAGTGCCTAGTATAGAGAAGGTGTTCAGTATGCTCGTGCCAGGTTACATTTCTGAACTAAAATCTGTCTGGTGGTCTCCCTTGGAGGGATCATTTTAGTGCCACCCTGGAAGAAGAGGAAGAGATTTCCTGAATGCTCCCTGGTGGCCTCCTGCACTTCCTTGCTCTCTGGCTTCCTTAGAGAGAACTAGAGACCTAGGAAAGCCCATGTGCATATGCGTCATAAAAAAATTAGACTTTGGGGCCAGGTGTGGTGGCTCGTGCCTAAAATCTCAGCACTCTGGGAGGCTGAGGCGGGAGGATCACTTGAACCCAGGAGTTCAATACCAGTCTGGGCAACATAGCGAGACCCTGTCTCTACAAAAAAATTTAAAAATTAGTTGGGCATGGTAGCGTGTGCCTGTGGTCCCAGCTATTTGAGAGGCTGAGGCAGGAGGATTGCTTGAGCCCAGGCATTAGAGGTTGCGGTGAGCTATGATCATGTCTCTGCACTCCAGCTTGGGTGATAGAGTGAGACCCTGTCTCAAAAAAAAACAAGAAAAAGAAAGAAGTTAGACTTTAGATGAAACGAAGAGAGAAATTTGGTGGCAGGCAAAAGAAAGGCCCTGCAAGAAAGCGCGAGCCTGCCCAGCCATTGTTTTGGGTCCCAGCCCTGAAGGGCATCTGCCTTTCAGGTTGCTGAGCGTTGGCAACTGCTTGGTTTTTGTTTGCATTTCTCCAGCAAAGATGTGCAGATCCTGTTGGGCGTGGGGGTGGGGGAGCGACTGGCCCACCGTGTTCACCCTTTGGTTCTCCCCCGGTCGGAAGTCTTGTTAGGGATGTGATGAGGACAGAGGAGGTGGCAGTGCGGTGGCCGGCTGGGAGGGAGAGCTACCTCCCTCCAGTGGGCACCGCTCAGGACTCACGCTCCCCTCACTGCCTTGGCTCTTGGCCTCGGTCCAAAACAATGACGTTTAGCAAGGATACACATCAGGCACTGGGGTTGGATTAAAAAGACTCCGCACAGCCGTGAGGGCCTGGAGAAGCTGCTTGTGTGTAAGATACCTCGGGGTTTCGGGTGCCCCCAAGCCCTGAACAAATCGGCACTGTCACTCCCCTGCTGTGGAAGAGCTGCTCTGAGCTGAGGCCATGGAAGGAGGGGTTGCAGTGGCATCCAGTGCCCAAGAGGAGGGGGCTCTGTGCCAGGCAGGGCCACACAGAGGAGAGCCCTCAGGGCTGGCTCTACGGCAAGCAGGACACACTGACCAGTAGCGTGGGCCCTGGTGAGAGACAGATGGAAGGTCCAGTTCAGGCTGCAGAGAGGACTGGGGTGGGGCACGGAGGTGACACAGAGCTGCCTTCCTGTGCCTGGCTGAGGGGCTGTCACCTGTAGGATAAGGTTACTAATAACAGCTGATAGCCTATTCCCTCATCAGAGCCCTCACACTGCTGTGAGACGGGTCCCATGATTAGGCCAGGCAAGAAAATGTGGCTCGGAGAGGCTAAGTGACTTCCCTAAGACCACACAGCTAGTAAGTGGCAGAACTGGGACTTGCACTCAGGTCTGTCTGACTCTAATCCATGCACTTGAACCCCAGACTAGCATTTCCAGTGTCCCTTCCTAGGGCAGAACCCAGGTGGTGGGGTTCCGGAGGGCCTGGCTTGCCAGCCATGCATGCTGCTTAGCAGTGGTGTGGACGGTAATGAGCCCCTGTCATGGCCCCCGTGTTTCCCCAGCCCATGCCCCTCTGGGATGCTCTTGGGAGGCTCAGCTAACCTCTGTCTCTTTCTCTTTGTCTGTCTGTGTCTGTCTGTCTCCCTTTCTCTCTGCCTGTCTTCGGGGAGGGAGGTTTCCCCTCCTCCCTTTTATCTCTGGATGTGTGTCCCTCTGACTCTGCCTTCACCTCCTGTCTGTCTGTCTGTCTGCCTCTCTCCAAGCCCCTGTCTCCCTCCCTGTGCCTGTCCTGGTCTCTCCGCAGGACCCTCCCGTGGACATGGGTGGGGCCCTGGGGCCAGCCCTCCTGCTCACCTCGCTGCTCGGTGCCTGGGCAGGGCCAGGCCCTGGGCAGGGCACACAGGCAGTGACGGTGGCTGTGGTGTTTGGCAGCTCAGGGCTGCCACAGGCCCGTGTCCGCCTGACCCCCCAGAGCTTCCTGGACCTGCCCCTGGAGATCCAGCCGCTCACCGTGGGGGTCAACAGCACCAACCCTAGCAGCCTCCTCACCCAGATCTGCAGCCTCCTGGGTGCCGCCCGCGTCCATGGCATCGTCTTTGAGGACAACGTGGACACTGAAGCAGTGGCTCAGATCCTGGACTTCATCTCTTCCCAGACTCATGTGCCCATCCTCAGCATCAGCGGGGGCTCTGCTCTGGTCCTCACCCCCAAGGTGCCTGTCCAAACTCATGTCCCCTTGTCCCTTGGGCCTGGAGCCAGGCTGGGGCTGAGGGATGGAAGGCTTAGGTCCTGGGGAGCTGGGATTGGGCAGGACTGCTGGTCGGGGCAGAGGGCATGACATAGGTGAGGGGGAGAAGGCTGTGGGACTGAAGTTCCTATGTTCTAGAAGAGAAACTTTCTGGGCTGCTTTTGAATTTGTGTCTGGGTGAGGGGTGGGCAGATGGCAAGCCCCCTCTGGCTGTGGGGGGTCAGGGTCTTAGCCGGCCTCCTCTCTGCTTCCCTCCTGGGTCAGGTTCCAGACCCAGAGGGCCGGCTGGGCACGGGAGCCAGTGGGCAATGGCAGTTCATCTGTAGGGAGGGCAGTCCAGGGCAGCTCACTGTCCAGGGCATGAGGGAGGCAGAGAAGGCCCTGCCCTCACAGAGCTTGCCGTCCCTGGGGGAGGACAGCCTAAACATGCATTCATCTGTGGTTACAAACTGGGACAAGCGTTCTGAAGAAAAAATGCAGGATGCCACGAGGGAGTCTCACGGGTCCCCGTTTGGATAGGGCACTGGGGAGAAGGTCGCTCGAGAACTGATGTCTGCAGGAGACCTGGAGGCTAAGGGGGGAGTGGGGGTGGTTCCAGGCGGAGGAGCGGGTGGTGTGAAGGCCCCAGGTGGGAAGGAGCCCAGCGCTTTTGAGGAACAGAGAGGAGGAGGTGGGGTCCCCACCACGTGGGGAGACATTTGGGCTTACGCTGAGTAAGTGGGCCCCCAAGGCAGGTGTTGAGACTGGCTGATCTGATTTGCCTTTGTTGTATCAATTTTTTAATGGAGAATTTTGAGCACAAATGAGAGTATAACGAACTCCCATCTCCCCTACCTGCTCTGGCCTACCCACCCCATCTTCACCCCACCCACTCCCCCTCTTCTGTGTTAATTTGAAGCAAAGCCCAGACGTCCTGTTGTTCTGGCCACAAATATTTCAGTTTGTATCTCTGGCAGGTAAGGGCTTAAAAAAGTAAAACCACCATACATGATCACGTCTCAAAAATAATAAAAATTCCTTAACATCATCGAATATCCAGCCAGTGTTCACATTTCCCCATTGTCTCAGAACTGTCATAACTGTTTATTTTTAAGTCTGTTTGCTTGGATCTGGAGCCAAAGTAGGTCCACACTGGGATTGCTTGGAGTGGCTTCTAAATCCCTCTCCACTTCTGACTCCTCATTCTCGCTCTCTCTTTTGCTTGCAATTTTTTTTTTTTGGTTGAGGAAACTGGGTGGCTTGGCCTCTAGCTTTCCCCGATTCGCTTTTTTAAAGGACTAGGACAGTGGCAGCACGGAGACCACAAGTTAGGAGGGCCCTGCGCCAGCCCTGGTGCCAGCTGGCAGAGCCGTGGGCTTTGTGGTGGCAGAGGGTGGCGAGGAGCAGCTTTCCCGCCCTCGGGGCTGCGGGAGGAAGGCGTTTCCCAGTGATCCCAGGACCGGCCTTAGCTCTCCATGCCTCCGGCCGGTGGTTCTCAGCCCTCGCGGTGCTTTCAAAAAATACAGCCGCCGGGCATCGCACCCGCGAAATTCCGATTCAGGTGGTCTGGGGCAGCGCTTCTCCGGCCAGCGGGCTCGAGTCGCCTGACGAGCTTGTTAGGATACAGATTTCGGACGGGCGCCGTGCCCTGAGAGTCCGATCCAGAGGCGAGGGCGCGGCCCGAGAACTTGCATTTCTAGCCAGAGCCCGGGGGCTGCGGGTGCTGCGGGTCTGCGGGCCCGCGCGGTCCGCAGCGGGCGGGGCCCGAGTGTTTTTGACAGCCCCCCAGGTGATGCTGCTGGGCATCGCTGGGCGGCAGGCCCTGGACCTCGTCCGGGCTGGGGCTCCCTGGGGGTCCGACGGCGGGTCCGCGGTGGGGGAGGGGCGCGAGGCGGGGCTCGGGACGCCCCGCCCCGGCTCAGGCCCCGCCCCGCCCCCAGGAGCCGGGCTCCGCCTTCCTGCAGCTGGGCGTGTCCCTGGAGCAGCAGCTGCAGGTGCTGTTCAAGGTGCTGGAGGAGTACGACTGGAGCGCGTTCGCCGTCATCACCAGCCTGCACCCGGGCCACGCGCTCTTCCTGGACGGCGTGCGCGCCGCGGCCGACGCCAGCCACCTGAGCTGGCGGCTGCTGGACGTGCTCACGCTGGAGCTGGGCCCGGGCGGGCCGCGCGCGCGCACCCAGCGCCTGCTGCGCCAGCTCGACGCGCCGGTGTTCTTGGCCTACTGCTCGCGCGAGGAGGCCGAGGTGCTCTTCGCCGAGGCGGCGCAGGCCGGCCTGGTGGGGCCCGGCCACGTGTGGCTAGTGCCCAACCTGGCGCTGGGCAGCACCGACGCGCCCCCCGCCGCCTTTCCCGTGGGCCTCATCAGCGTCGTCACCGAGAGCTGGCGCCTCAGCCTGCGCCAGAAGGTCCGCGACGGCGTGGCCATCCTGGCCCTGGGCGCCCACGGCTACCGGCGACAGCACGGCGCCCTGCCCGCCACGGCTGGGGACTGCCGCGGCCATCCCGGGCCCGTCAGCCCTGCCCGGGAGGCCTTTTACAGGTGGGCACCCACCCGGAGCCTGGGGGCGAGAGGCGGGGGGCGCTTCGGGGCACCTGGTGGCAGTGAGTTGGACTGGCCAGCCGCACCTCCCACTAGCTGTGTGCCCGGGGCCGAGTTATATCACCTCTCTGGGCCTTAGTGTCCTTGTCTGAAAAATCAGCAGGTGTCAGGGAGTGCCAAGGATCTGCGGCCGGTAGAGGGAAGCACTTTGAACAATAAGTGTGCAATGCTGCCTGGTGGTGGTGGTGGTGGTGAGGCGGAGGCCGGGGTGTCTGGTCCTGGGCTGGGCCACAGGCAGGGGTAAGTGCACACCCTGCCTTCTCTCTCCCCTGGCAGGCACCTACTGAATGTCACCTGGGAGGGCCGAGACTTCTCCTTCAGCCCTGGTGGGTACCTGGTCCAGCCCACCATGGTTGTGATCGCCCTCAACCGGCACCGCCTCTGGGAGATGGTGAGAAGGGGGTGAGCCCAGGGGGCCTCAGTTTCCTCCCATTTTGTCCCCAGCCCCTCTTGTGCCCACGGCTGAGCAGAGTGTCCCTTCTGTCCGTTATCCAAGCCCTCATCTTCCAGGTCTCAGCTGAAACAGCTCCTCCACTGGGAAGCCTTCCAGGTGCCCCAGGGTGGGTGAGGTGGCCTTGCTCTGGGCCCCCGTAAGACCCCAGCATCCTGCCACTGCAGAACTCACCAAGCACTCTTATCACATGGCCCTGCCCCTGTAGGAGGATCCCCATGTCAACAGATAGATACGGAGAGATCAGTGCTTGAGTAGAGAGGTGTGCAAAACATTATGGGATTAGAGATGAGGACAGGACTTAGTTCTGTCTTCAAAGGAAGAAACTGGGTAATGTGTCATGGAAGATGGGACATTCGAGCTGGGCTGTGGAGGGTTGAGTAGGAGCCCACCAGAAGGGATGCTGTCTGGTTTAGACAGAAGGACAGGAGGGTTTGGGTCATTTTTAAGTGTGTGTGGGGGTGTGTTTGGGGGTATGGAGACTGAGGTAGTAGTGTGGGGTGATGGGGGACATTGGACCTGAGTGTGGAGGGCTCAGCTAAGGACTTTCCGCCAAGGTTGAGGGAACCAGCATGGGGAGACACAGTCAGGTCTGCTGACCCACAGCATCGGCAGCGGTGCGGAGGGCCCCAGGGAGCCTGTCCCTCAGGCTGGTGCTCAGTCCTTGCTCTGGCCCTCCTCCAAATGCTCCTTCTCCAGACCCTGCTCTGTCCTGCCCCCAGTGTCCCTAGGTGAGACAGGTGGATTCTTGGCCCTGGCAGGCCCCACCTAGAGGGTGGGGGTAGCAGGGCTGGAGGTCCTGGGCTGAGGCCGGTCACCCTCTGCAGGTGGGGCGCTGGGAGCACGGTGTCCTGCACATGAAGTACCCGGTGTGGCCTCGCTACAGTGTCTCCCTGCAGCCTGTGGTAGACAGCCGGCACCTGACGGTGGCCACGCTGGAAGAGCGGCCCTTTGTCATTGTGGAGAGCCCCGACCCTGGCACCGGTGGCTGCGTACCCAACACCGTGCCCTGTCGCAGGCAGAGCAACCACACCTTCAGGTCCGAGGGGACACCCAGGGAGGCCCAGTGTGAGCCGTGTGCTGCCGTGTGGTGGGCAGGCGCTGTGTGTCTTATGCTTGGGTGTGTGGGGTCCACGTGCCAGGCTGGGAGGGGCTGCTGGGGTGGGGCTTCTCTGGGCTGCGCTGCAACATGCTCTGACTCCTGGTGGTCTGCGGCTGTGGTGGCTGCAGCAGCAGTGACGTGGCCCCCTACACCAAGCTTTGCTGTAAGGGCTTCTGCATCGACATCCTCAAGAAGCTGGCCAAGGTGGTCAAGTTCTCCTATGACCTGTACCTGGTGACCAACGGCAAGCATGGCAAGAGGGTGCGCGGTGTGTGGAACGGCATGATCGGGGAGGTAGGCCCACCCCTGAGGTCCCTCCCTGGCCACAGAGCCTGTTGCCCACGCTCGGATGTCCCTTAGAAGGGGAGACAGGGCTGTCACCAGCGATGACCCCAGGGTGATCAATATTGACAGCTGAGCTCTGAGGACCGCAGGTGGGAGCAACTGACCCAGCCAGTGGGTGCTGGAGGGGTACCTGGGGAGAGTGTTTCAGCCCTCAGGAGCCCCTTCCTCACTCCCCACGTGGCCCCTGCGGCCCCAGGTGTACTACAAGCGGGCAGACATGGCCATCGGCTCCCTCACCATCAATGAGGAGCGCTCTGAGATCGTGGACTTCTCCGTGCCCTTTGTGGAGACGGGCATCAGCGTGATGGTGGCTCGCAGCAATGGCACCGTCTCCCCCTCGGCCTTCCTGGGTGAGGCTTGGGGTGGGCAGGGATGGCTCCGGGGTGGAGGGGCTCCGGAGTGGGCGCGGAGCCTGGTGGAGAAGGGGAGCTGGGGCCCTTAGTGGCCGAGCACAGCAGCCTTGGGTGTCCTGCGGGAGTTGAATGGAGAGGGAAGAAGTGATGTTGGGGTTCGGTTCTGAGCCTGGTGTGGGTGAGGGTGGTTGGGGGGAGGCAGGACAAATTGGGGTGCCATTGTGAGGGCCAGGAAAAGCAGGAGGGCAGGCTGGCCTCAGGACGTGCCATGGGCCAGGACAGTGGACAAGGGAAGAAGCTCCGTGGGGAGTCAGGGAACTGACGGAGTGTAGACGAGGTGCTGGTTTCTTACTAGGCAGCCCCTTTGTGTCAGGCCCCACGCCGCGTGCTGGGGACACAGCCGTAGTCCTCACCTCCTCAGAGCGCCCAGTTGGGGGTCAGGTGGCAGTTGCAGTGTGAGAAGGTCTAGAGAGCTGTGAGGACAGGCGAGGCAGGCTAGACACAGTGAGAATCCCTGCTCTGCCCCTTCCTGCTGTGTGGCCTTGGGCAAGTCGCTGAACCTCTCTGAGCAGGCTCCTCAGCCATGTGGAAGAAAATAACCCCCACTTCACGGGATGGCCATCAAAGCTAAGGGGCAAGTGCTCATGGCAGTAATGACTTCTTACGCCAGGAGATGGAAATGATTTTGTCCGAGACCTCAGGGCGGTTTCCAGTTCCCTGGGCCTCAGTTCTGTGTCAGATGAGGAGTGAGACTCTGATTCTAGACAGAACGACCAGGTCATTGCTGCTGGGCTAGGCAGGGACGTGAAGTCAAAGGGGAGTGTCTTAAGGTGGGGTGATGTGTACCTGTCCCAGGGTGAGGCCAGGGAGGAGACCAGGAATGCTGGGGACCCTGACACTGGGGTGTCTCCTGGGGATCTGCTGCCCTGAGAGGCAGAGGTGCCCTCGGCTCGGTCCGCAGAGCCCACTAGCTGGCGGAGTGCTCTGACCATGTGCACCCGCCTGTCTCCACCCAGTGCTTCTGTGCAGGTGGTGGTGATGGGGGGCAAGCTGAGGCCTCTGAGCCGCCTCCCTCTGCCCCCAGAGCCCTACAGCCCCGCCGTGTGGGTGATGATGTTCGTCATGTGCCTCACCGTGGTGGCCATCACCGTCTTCATGTTCGAGTACTTCAGCCCCGTCAGCTACAACCAGAACCTCACCAGAGGCAAGAGTAAGCTGTCGCCGGGCCCGGGAGGAGAGGCAGGCCCGGGCATCCCCGAGGACTGGGCTCAGGGCCAAAGGCTCCTTCAGAGAATGCCTGTGGGAGGTCCCCGGCCTTCGGACAGCATGTGCTGGGGCCGATCAGATGAGAGACACACATTGGGGAGCTGACTTGGCCTGAGGTGGGGATGGCCAAGGGGGCAGGAGCCGTGGATCGGGTAGGCTGAGACCTGAGCCCTTTCATGGCGGGCAAGAGGGGTCCCAGAGTCCACCCTCTGCCCCCAGAGTCCGGGGGCCCGTCCTTCACCATTGGCAAGTCCGTGTGGCTGCTGTGGGCGCTGGTCTTCAACAACTCGGTGCCCATCGAGAACCCCCGGGGCACCACCAGCAAGATCATGGTCCTGGTCTGGGCCTTCTTTGCCGTCATCTTCCTCGCCAGCTACACGGCGAACCTGGCAGCCTTCATGATCCAGGAGCAGTACATCGACACCGTGTCGGGCCTCAGTGACAAGAAGGTTCTGGGGCCACTGTTGGTGGAGGGTGGGGGGCGCTGAGGGTGGGGACAGGCCTTGGTGGGGGACAGACCCGGGACAGCCGGAGTCTGGGGGATTGGAGCTGGAGCTCGGAGCGGGAAGAAGCTGTGGGATTGGGAGGAGGGTCGGGCCCGGGGCAAGAGATGGCTCAGGTGCCCCGATTGAGTGGCCTTGGGTAAGTCTCTCCCTGTCGCGGCCTCCGAGTCTCCATTTGGAAAACACAGGAGTGTCTTGGCGGGTCTTAAGACCCTTCTGCTGTGACTGTGCAAGTCCACACCGTGGGGCTGGGCTCGGGCGGGTTCGGGGCTTTGGGCCTGGAGGGCTGGGGGAAGGGTTACGCCCGGCTGCTGTGCTCTGCCTGCAGTTTCAGCGGCCTCAGGACCAGTACCCACCCTTCCGCTTCGGCACAGTGCCCAACGGCAGCACGGAGCGGAACATCCGCAGCAACTACCGCGACATGCACACCCACATGGTCAAGTTCAACCAGCGCTCGGTGGAGGACGCGCTCGCCAGCCTCAAGATGGGGTGGGTCCCCCTGCACCCACCCCTGTCTCTATCCACGTGTCTCCCCAGTGACCAGCCTTCGCTCTATCCTTTCCTGAGAGACCCCACGTGGGGAGAGTGGGAATGGGCTGTCCCGCAGGACTCCTGGGGGTGGGTTGTGCGGGTCTTGGGGCAGACGGAACTTGAAGCAAAGATGGAAGCCCTCCGTGTGACCCAGACCCAGCTGTGGCCTTGAGCAAAGTTCAGGCTTGGCCTGAGGTGGTTGTTGTGACCTTTTCTGGGTCTTAGGGGTGTGGAGGGCTGGGCAGAGAGGGCGTGTGTCCTCTGGGAGTGGGTCCCCTGGCTTCTGTGAGGAGGAGGGGAGAGGGGTCCTCGCTGCATCCAGGACCCGGGGGAACTAGAGAAGACTCCTCCCCCACCCCTCCCTATTGGTGCCCACCAGGCTCATGTGGCTCAGACCCCTCTTAGGTCCCAGGTTCGGTGCCCCCTCCCTCCCCACATGGTCCCTGGCCCTGAGGGCTCAGCCTGTCCCCAGGAAGCTGGACGCCTTCATCTATGACGCTGCTGTCCTCAACTACATGGCGGGCAAGGACGAGGGCTGCAAGCTGGTCACCATTGGGTCTGGCAAGGTCTTTGCCACCACTGGCTACGGCATCGCCATGCAGAAGGACTCCCACTGGAAGCGGGCCATAGATCTGGCACTGCTGCAGTTCCTGGGGGACGGTGGGTGCTGCCACTGCTGGGGGCTGGTGTGGGTCCAGGGTGGGCCACAGAGCCCACAGTGCTCAGCATGTCCTCCACCGTTCTGAGTCCCCAGACCTGTGGGCAGGGAGAGGTCTCTGGGGGGTGAGAGGGGCAGCTGGCGGGGGTGGGTATTAGGAGCAACTGGACAGAGACCTGGGGAAGAGATGGGCTTGCAGGGAGGGAGCAGGAGCTAGAGCTGGACAGTCCCTCAGCCACGTGGGGGCTGGCAGTAGCTGAACCCATTTCTTTTCCCCAAGACCTGCCCCACCCCATGGTCTCTCCCAGATGAGCCCCTCCTTTGCCCAGGATGGTCCCCCCATTTCCATCCTGAGATTACGTGGGGTAGTGCCAAGGCCCTGCTTAGTCCCACACGTGTGAGTGGTCCAGCTCAGCCCACCCCCAAGCCCAGAGAGCTTTGAGTTTAGAGGAGCTCTGTCCTTATTAGATAAAAAATGGTCTGATTTCTCAATACGGTATAATGATGAGAGCGGACGGTGAGGGTGCTGCGGTCACCTAGGCCTCTGGTCTGTGTGTGCCCAGCTCCATGCTTGGCGTGTAGACGGTTAATAACTGTATGGTGACGAGCGAATGAGTGAGTGAATGAATGAACGCTAAAATCTACCCAGTCAACAAGCCTTTACAGGGCACGTGGGTGCCCTTTACTGGAGGTGGGCAGGTGGAGGACCCAAGGACCCCTACTCTGCTTTCCTTCTTCTGCTCCCTGACCCCCACCCCACTGTCCTTCCCCTGCTGGGCTTGGTCCCTGTGCTGTCCACCTGGGGAAGAAGGGGTGGCACCCTGGCCCCAGATCCCTCTTCGCTGCAGGCTTGTGGGGAGCTTTGGGGGGGTCCATTTAGAGAGATTTCCTGAGCCAGAAATGCCCCCCCAGGAGAGACACAGAAGCTGGAGACGGTGTGGCTCTCGGGGATCTGCCAGACCGAGAAGAATGAGGTCATGAGCAGCAAGTTGGACATTGACAACATGGCCGGCGTCTTCTACATGCTGCTGGTGGCCATGGGGCTGGCGCTGCTGGTCTTCGCCTGGGAGCACCTGGTCTACTGGAAGCTGCGGCACTCGGTGCCCAGCACGTCCCAGCTGGACTTCCTGCTGGCTTTCAGCAGGGTGGGTGCCCGCCTCCCCGCACGGGCCGCGGCTTTAGGGCCACCAACCTGGATAAGTCAGAGCTGGCCTCGGCCCATTTACAGAGGTAAAGCCCGGTCCCAAGAGGTGGCCTGGCTGGCCATCATGGCAGAGCACACAAGGAGCAGAGCCCGCCTCCCACAGGCGAGCCGGCATTGAACCCCCACTGTGCCAGGCGATAGCTGGAGTGGTCTGGACACCCAGCTGCCTGGGGAGCTCAGACAACTGATTCTTGGGCGAAGCAGCACAGCGCCTGGCACAGGGGAGACCCTTCACAAAGAGTTGCTTCCTGAGACTTAGAAAAGGCAGATGCCTTGGGAGGGGCGGGGACAGGCGCTGCGAGGAGGGCGCCTCTTACCGACTGTCTCTTCCCTACCGCCCAGGGCATCTACAGCTGCTTCAATGGGGTGCAGAGCCTGGCCAGCCCCCCGCAGCCGCCCAGCCCGGACCTCACGGCCAGCTCGGCCCAGGCTAGCGTGCTCAAGATGCTGCAGGCGGCGCGCGACATGGTGACCACGGCGGGCGTGAGCAGCTCCCTGGACCGCGCCACGCGCACCATCGAGAATTGGGGCGGCGGCCGCCGTGCGCCCCCGCCACCCGCCTGCCCGGCCCTGCAGCCCGGCCCTGGCCCACGCTCGCCGACCCCCGGCCCGGCCCCCGAGCCGAGTCCCACGGGCTGGGGGCCGCCGGGCGGGGGTCGCACCGCGCTGGCGCGCAGAGCCCCGAAGCTCTCGGGCCGCCCCTCAACGGCCGGGTCGCCCCTGCCCGACGTCTCCCGGGTGTCACGCCGGCCCGTTTGGGAGGCGCGGTGGCCCGTGAGGGCCAGGCACTGCGGGCGGCATGTCTCGGCCTCGGAGCGGCGCGTGCTGCCAGAGCGTCCCCTATCGCCCGCGTGCTGTCACTACAGCTCCTTCCCTCGAGCCGACCGATGCGGGCGCCCCTTCCTCCCGCTCTTCCCGGAGCCCCCGGAGCCGGAGGACCTGCCGCTGCTCGGGCCGGAGCAGCTGGCCCGGCGGGAGGCCCTGCTGCGCGCGGCCTGGGCCCGGGGCTCGCGCCCGCGCCACGCTTCCCTGCCCAGCTCGGTGGCGGAGGCCTTCGCCCGGCCCAGCTCGCTGCTTGCCGGGTGTCCGGGCCCCGCCTGCGCCCGCCCCGACGGCCGCCCGGCCTGCAGGCGCTTCGCGCAGGCGCAGTCCATGCGGCTGCCGTCCTACCGGGAGGCCTGCCTGGAGGGCGTGCCGGCGGGTGTCCCCGCCTGGCAGCACCAGCGGCATGTCTGCCTGCACGCCCATGCCCACCTGCCGTTTTGCTGGGGGGCTGTCTGCCCTCACCTCTCACCCTGTGCCAGCCATGGCCCCTGGCTCACTGGGGGCTGGGGTCCTGTGGGTCACAGGGGCAGGACTCTGGGGCTGAGCACAGGCTACAGGGACAGTGGGGGACTGGATGAAGTCAGCAGGGTAGCCTGTGGGACACAAGGCTTGCTGGGACCCTGCACCTGGAGGCGGATCTCTAGCTTGGAGTCAGAAGTGTGAGGTATCAGCCACTCTGGTTCCTGGTCCGCTGGGTTCTCTGGCTTCTGCCAGGATGGAATCCTACCCGTGGGACTCCAGTGACAGATGATGTCTTCCGTGGTCAGTTCAGGGACCTCAGCAGACTCAGGCCATGGTTTGGGCTGGGCTCTGGCTGTCCCCTTACCAGGCAAAGTCCTACCTACCCAGCATGGAGTCCTAGGGAACAACATGGGTCAGACCCGTGAGGGTCTCCCTGCCCTGGTGTTGCCAGTTCCTGGTCACAGTTTGTGGCCTTGGTGTGGGGGCATGGAGGCTGGAACCTTGGAGGCTGGAGCCTTGCTCCACCTGGCTGGAGTTTCTTCTCATTGGAGCACTGGGACATTAAACCAACCTTTTACAACCCACTGGTCCGGGCTGTCTCCTTCTGCATCCTGGAGGGGACACAGCACAGCCTGTAGGCAGTGGGAGCAGCCTGGAAGCGTCCTAGGCTGCCAGGCGGGGTGTCTGCCTAGAGCAGGTGGACAGCTCTCTTCGAGAGGGACGTGGGGAGGAGGTGAGGCTGAGAGGGGGCAGAGGCCACCTGGTGTTCAGCGCCAGCTCCCACCCACCCTGGTGCTGGATGTGACAAATGTGCTCGGGGGCTCTCATGGTTGGTGGAGTTTGTCCCTCAGTCTCCTTGAAAAGGGAGGCTCGTGCCAGGGGCTGTGCCTGTCGTGCCCTGCCAGGGACTCCCAGGAGCCTTGGTGTCATGGTGGCACAGGCAGAGGAAGGTCTGCTGTGGGAGCCTGCCTGGCTCGCCTGTGCCCTGCTGGCTGCATTGTCTCCGTCACTCAAGCGTGAGGCTCAGGACTGCTCTCGGGGCTCAGGAGGCCTGGCACCGGGGGCTGCTGGGTCAGGCATGGCTCAGTCTCACAGGTGCCAGGACTCCTCTGGTGGGAGAGTCTCCCTGCTGCCTCGGTCCCGCGTCCTCCGTCTGGGGCTCCTAGCCCTACCTCCTTTCTCTGTCACACGTCATTGGCTTTGGACCACCTAAAAAGATGGCTTTTGCTTACAATTTTCAATGTTTTCACATCTTTGATTACATTTATCCCCCCCAATGACCCTCTGAAGCAAGCAAGTATTCATTCTTCTATTTGTTCCCCAACAGTGAGCTCTATCAGTTCTGTTATAGTAGAATTCTTTGCTAACTGCTGAGGATGTAAAGTCCGAGGCCTGTAGGGTGCAGGCAGGGTGGCTCCTAGGCCAGTGCAGCAGAGAGGAAGAGGGGAGAGCTGGGCTAGGTGTCTCTGCCCGGTGCCCTTCCCCACCGCTCCTTAGCGGCGTCCCTCCTCAGTTTCTGAAGACCCCACTGCTTGGGTTGGGGCCATGAGAACTGAACCTTTTCTATTTGGCTTTAGGGTTGAGGGCAGCTGAAATAGTAAGGTGGGGTACCCCTCCATTCTTGGCTGGAGAGTGACCACCCCGAGAGTGGGTGGCCAGGTCTGTGACAGTTGTTGCACATTCTATGCCCCTGTGGATTGTCGTGGGCTGGATCCAGGTCCAGGATGGGGGAGGGGGAGGGTTCAACAACAGGTGGGCAGTGAGTCTAGGTGAGTGCTGGAGGCCGGCACTGCAGCAGGGAGCTTGACCTTGGTTGCAGCCAGGGTTGGGGAGAGGGCTACCTGCTGGCCGCCAGCCCCGCCAGCCCAGGGACCTGACTGCCCCCTCACTGAGTCAGGGTCTGCCTGCAGCTCTGGATTCACGGCTGCAGCAGGTGACACTGGGAGGAGCTTGAGATCCAGGCTGCTCCGCTTGCTGCCCAAGATCATTAAGCAAGAACCGGGAAGATAATTAAGCGGCAAATGTGGACCTGAGCCTGCTGCTTGGGGTGGTGGGAGGTTCTCTAGGATATATTTGGCAGGGATGGGGGTGGGTTCTGGGGGACAGGGGGCAGGAAGGATGCTCCTGTGAGCTCAGATCAAGCTTGGCCTGGCTTCCCGGCCTCCTGCACTACCAAGGAGGGCAGAAAGCCTGGCAGGGGAGGCGGGGGGTGGGGGTGAGGCCCTGGATGTGAGCTCACCACAGCGAGGGCCTGCTGACGAGGCACCTGACCCAAGATACTGCTTTTTTTCTTCTTTTCGTGAGATGCAGGGAGAGAGGCCCTTGTCGCTGGCCTAACCAGGGCTTTCCTGCCGCTGCCCTAGCTGTTCTGCCTTGTGTCTGGCTGAGCAGCTCATGCTCCATGCCAGCTTTTCCCAGGGAGCCAGGTGTGTGGGGGAGGGGGCAGAGCTTACAAAAGGGTGGGCCGATATCCTTGGCCAGGACCCTCCAGCCTGGCATGTCCTGTCTTTGAAAGGGGACAAAGCCCCAAAGCCCTCTAGACTCTGAATTCAGGTCAGTTTCCTGTGTCTGAATCGTAGCAGGCTGTGGCTGCAAGATGACACTCAACTCATTAGGAGGCTGCGAAACCAAGTAGGTGCCTGGAGTCCCAGATGAGTTGGGGGTCCTGGGTTACAAGTGCAGTCATCACAGGCAAGTGACAAGACAGACAGGCATCAGTAAAGAATAGCTTTATTGAGCACTTTTGTGCCAGGCACTCAGTACTTTAATTCCCACAACCACTCAGTGACACAGCTACTGTCACCAACTTTACAAGTGAGCGGGGAGAGCTCACGGAGGTATGCTGCCTGCGAGCGGCAGGTCTGGCTGCTTGTCCACTCAGAAAGTGCCCAGTGCTGTGCCCAGCACGTAATGCCCCTCAGCAGAGGCTACTCCTGCAATGGACGCCATGGACCCCAGGCCCCAGGTGGAAGGGACCCCAAACTCTCCGCTGCGCCCTGGATCTTGGTCTCTGAAGAGCCAGCTTTTCAGTGGCCCTTACCATGAGTCGGCCTTGCTCGACAGTCTGCCTCCTGGACAAGTGAAGTCTCAGCCTTCCGCTTCCCCAGGGCCCGGCACTGCCAGCCACTGCCCCTCCGGGATGGTTTCCCAGGAGGTGGGGCACGGCACCCTAGGACTCTGGCTTTGGCCTCAGCCCCCCTGTGGTGGGAACAGCTGTGTGGCTGGGGGCCCGGCACAGTGCCCACTGTGCACCCTCCACCCCGCAGCAGTGCCGCCCAGCCTGTCACCTGCCATCTGCTCCAACTATAAGCCAGAGGCCACCGCTCTGGCCTCAGGTGAGGCACAGCCAGGAGCTGCCAGCACCAGGCTCTGGCACTCGGGCGGACCTGGTGCTTCCGCAGGAGGGAGGCAGAGCGCGCACTCCCACCTCGGCCTGGCCCCCTTGGGGGCGTGTGGGGCAGCCCGGGTGGAGGACGTGGGGCGGAGCTGTGAGTGAAGATCTCCTCCACAGCGACCCTTGTACCCAGGCAAGGCTGGGCTGGCAACTTCTGCCCTCCCCACTCCTGACCCCAGGGGCCCATCTGCAAAGCGGAAACCACGACCTGCCTTGGCCACCTCACCACATTGACATAAAAACATTTGCAGTTAAATGTGCTTAATGCCTGTGCAGAGCCAGCATCACCTGGGAATGTCTCACTGTTGGGGACTCCTCTTCCTGGCCCAAGCCCCCCAGCTGGCAGTGGCACTCCAAAGTGACCCCATCTGACCTGTGGCAGGACAGGCAGCAGGGGAACGAGAAGCAGAGCAGCAAGATGGCGGCAGTGCTGAAGGCCCAGCCTGGCACCTACGGCGCGGTCACCTCGGGCCAATTCCCTCCAGGACTGGGCTGCCCGGCTGGGAGTGGGGGACACAGCCACTGACTCCATTGCTGTGTGGCTCCAGATTGTCACATAAATCAACCTGGGCTTTATGATGCTAATAAATATAAGTCCAAAATTTGGTTTGGAGCCTGGGGCGGCGGGATGATTTAATTTGCTTTGTCCTTAAACAAGAGGGAACGTAATCGGCAAAGGGTAAGTACAGATGTTTTGAGTTTTCAGCAAACGCACGCCACGGCCCAGGCTTCCTTATTCTCGGTCTTACCACTATGGTGCCCATGCTCTGCCCACCCTGCAGGGCCCCCTGGGAAGAAGCCACAATGGCAGATGGGGGAGGGGCGTTTGCTTTCCTGTGATGGAAAAATAATGATAAGTGGGGACAAGCTGAGGTGCAAGGACAGCGAGACAGTGATTGGGCCAATTGTACCACTTGGGGCTCTCAGGCTGCAGCTGCCAGGGCGGAGGTGGAGGGCGACATACCTGCAGGCTCCCCATGTTCCCCGCAAATCCCACACGTCCCCTGACCCTGAGACCGCCTGGGGTCCCAGCAGACTTGGCATGGCATCGTTGCTCTGTCCCAGGCCCGAAGACAGTGAGATGCAAGGGAGGGTCGCAGAGAGGTTCCCCAGGGGGGCTAAGCAAGGCACTGGAATCGAGAGGGAGGGGCAGGGGCCTGAGACCGCACCCCAGAGAGGCAGCTCCTGGCTCCAGGACAGGTCGGACCAGGGCTGGGGGCAAGCCAGGCAGGGTCAGGAAGGACCCCAGGTCCTGAAGCAGGAGAAGGCACATTGAAAACGCAGAGTTCATTCGCGGCACCTGTGTTTCCGAGGAGGCTGGCCCCAAGTGCGTGTATGACCGTGAGTGGGAGGTGGCTGGGGAATGGTGGTGGGTGCCCCATCCAACCCCATGTCACCCAAAGGACGTGAAAAGCATGAACACTGAGCACCCACACCCGGCTCTTAAGGGAGCCACTGGAGTGGGAGCAGCTAGACCTCCTGCATGGTGGGACATCGGGGCCCTCCCGCTGCCTGGTGCCCAGGGCTCTCCCCAGCCACTGAGGGCGCTGGGCGTGGGTAGCTTCCCTCTAGCGGCCCCCTACCCTGCAAGATGTCCTGAGGGCTCCAGTGGGGTAGCCAGGGGAGCAGCGGGTCCCCTTCAGGGACACAGGCTCTGGGCTTTGGACCCAGCTCACAGGCCGCAGTGTTCCTGTGGAAGGGAAGCTCCCTCCAGCCTGCGGCTCTGGAGCTGGCGCCCACAGCAAGGGCCCTCACAGCTCTGGTCCAGGCCCTGGTCCCAATTAGCACTTCCTGTTCTTGTCACTGGGGCCAGGCAGGCCCTCTCTTGGAGCGGCACTTAGTGACTC